TAGCTTTGGAACCTTCCGTAGAACTCGCTCTGTAGACCAGGCTGGCCTCGAATTCACAGAGATCTGCCTGCCTCTGCTTCCCCAGTGCTGAGGTTAAAGGCCTCTGCCACCACTGCTCGGCCCAAAAACCCTTTCTCTGTGGAAGTGAACATTGCTTGTATTGAGCTGCCCTGCCTTGATAGATAACGTTTGAGAGCTGTACTTAAGACAACTGACCCTAGAAAACGACTAGGGTGACACTTGGATTTTCAACTAAAGTTTTCATATGGGCTGATGAATCAAGTTATTTTCTACACTTTAATAACGGATTAGTTTTCTGGTTTGCTTCACCAAGATACTGTGTAGCAAGTCTGCATATATCATTCTCTCCTTGGAATAAAAAGAGACAGTTTTTGACATTGCAGAAGTTGTTGGATAAGTAGGTTAATATTTCTAATTATGTATGCAGAAAGAGCCATGCTTTACAGCATAAATAGTTATTATGCTGCTAAAAATCAGAGTTGTATTTTTTTGGATGCTGGTGGCATGTAATTACTGAGATTAATTCTGTGTGATTGTATTTATGTTGTAGAGACAGCACTTGCTGTGCACTTTCATGCTAATTTTTACCTTCATATTTTCAAAGCTTAATGAACGTTCTGGCTATGGATGACCTTTAGAAGTAATTCAAAGACTCCTTACGCATATTGGTCACTGTGCTTTTGTTGGTACTTTTGTGGAATTGGAATAGGTTGTGTTTAGAAACTGAGGGGCTTTATTGCCATTATATCCTTCTCTCTGGTGGTCTGCAAGACAAAACAGAACAAAAACTTGAATTTTTACTTGACCAGTCATCATCTTAACCGTTTATGCGGGAGCATCAATTATCACGATAGTTTAATGTCAACTTGACATAAGCTAGAGTCTTCAGAGAGGAGGGAGCCTCTATTAAGAAAATGCTTCCAGAAGATGGGCCTTAGGCAAGCCTGGAGGGCATTTTCTGAGTGATTGATGGGGTAGGCACCAGTGTGGGTGGTGCCATCCCTGAGCTGGTGGTCCTGAGTTCTACAAGAGAGCAGCCTGAGCGAGCCATGGTGAGCACACCAATAAACAGTTCTCCCCTGTGGCCTCTGCCTTGGTTCCTGCCTCTATCCTGACCACCTTTGACAGTGAACAATGATGTGGAACCTTTCCTCCCCTGGTCACTTTGGTTATTGGTTTATCATAACAACAGTACCCAACTAGACAGTGTTTTGCATTGTCTCCCAGTGGAGCACGACACTAGAGGTTCTCCTTCCCCTGCTTTCCTCTTTTCCCTTCCCTTTATTCCCCTACTCCATTGCCTTTCTCTGCTCCTTTCTCCCCCATCCCTTCCAGTAAGCACTTGTTGCCAAAATCCCATCAAAGCCAGTGGTTTTATTTCTGCTTTATTACCAGTGACATTACTAATCTGGGGAAATCTTCAGTATTAAGCAAATGCAGCTAGAATTGGAAGTCTGTGAAGAGCTGCAAAAATAATTTTGATCATTAGCAGACAGTTGAGAATTTTGTGACAGTACTTGGAATATAGTCACAAGTAAGTTACTGTCTCTGATCCACCCAAAGAAAATTGTTTTACATTTGGTGTACTTTAATTACCACAGCTATTAAACATAGAAATAAGACTTGCTTGTGTGACTTCCAGGAGTATTGATAAAATAAAATGAGCTGATAATGATTTTGAAGGAGCAGACCCTTTTTGAAGTGTGTAATGTCCATTTCTGTGCAGTGTAGATTACACGATGTAGCATCCTGATGATTGGCACAGCCAAGGATACTTAACTTTCAGTCTAAAGGAGGGAAAAAGCCCCAGGGCTCTTCTGTGCCCTCTGGTTGGTGATTAGACTTAACTGCTTTCACCAGTTATGTTTTTTGGTTATATACTTTTAAGAAGGTCATTACCTTAATATCTTACGAGTTTAGACTTGGGGGGGTGGGGTCGTAGAAATCCAAGTTTATGTGCCTGAGAGGGAAGAAGCTTTTTGATTTGAAAACTTGTCACAGGTACTGCCAAAAGCTAACTGCTCAAATTGGGTAGATGTGTCCAAGGGGGCTGATTGTTCTTGAGATGCATTAGTGGAATAAGGCAGAAAAGCTTGTGTTGTGTAAAGTCAGCTTCCCCTGTAACTTTAAAAGGCTATTAAGTATTGTCCCTCCCAATCCTTTAATTTTTCGTCTGCTCACATGCCTTACCTGCAAATTTTAAATTAACTTTAATTATAAAAATAATTAGAATGGTCTCCAAAGCTACAGAGAAACCCTGTCTCAAAAAAAAAAAAAAACCAAAACAACAAAAACTTAGAATGGTAATATTTTAAATTTAAATTAGCTTGGCTACATAGCCATAGATTTTTTTTGTGTGTGTGTGTGTTGAGGATCTTTTCATCTAGACCACAGTTTGTTTTTTTTTTTAAGATTTATTATATATATAGTGTTCTGCCTGCATGTATGCCTATTGCCAAAAGAGGGCACCAGATTTCTTATAGATGGTTGTGTGATTGTTGGGATTTTAACTCAGGACCTCTGGAAGTGCAGCCCATGCTCTTAACCTCTGAGCCAGCCATCTCTCCAGCCCAAATAGTGTTTTCTAATCCTGAATTTGAATATGTGAAAATAGATTTCATTACTCTTTGGTGTTTATTGGTATGAATTATCACACAGTTGGGCTGTGTGGATATTCGCCTGTTCTTCGGATGGCTTCTAAGGAACCTCTTTCAGTCTTTCCCCACTTTCTTTGTAGACTCATGCAATGGCCACAGATGACAAGAGTTCCCCGACACTGGAGTCTGCTAATGATCTGCCTCGCTCGCCCACTAGTCCGTCTCACCTCACTCATTTCAAACCCTTGACTCCTGACCAGGATGAGCCCCCCTTCAAGTCAGCATACAGTTCTTTTGTAAATCTTTTTCGTTTTAACAAAGGTAAGACTTATTTCTAAATATCAGAAAATGCAGTTTTGGTTCTCTGCATTCAGTGCTGTGCTGTTGCAAAGCAGTGAAATATTAACAAGGTGGTGGCTTTAATCACAGGACACTAAGTCTTTAGAAGGGAAAGGTAGCGTTTCATTGTAATCTGATTAATTATTTGTATGAATTGAGTTTAAAATGGTTAAGGAGGTCCTTTTTAAAGAGAAAGCAGTTTTCCATATTTTTTTCTGTTAATGTGCTTCAACTTAATAAGTTTACAGAATGAAACTTCTTGTGAGGGAGGTATTAATAACAAAGATTTTTAATTAAAGCAATAAAGTTAAACAGCAGTGCATGGTTTATACATTTAAAAAATTAGAAGCTGCCACCAGGCCTGTTGAGATTTAACACTTATTGGAATTAGGTTTAAGTAATATCAAATGAACAAATAATTTAAAAATGAGTTCTTGAATAGTATATTATTTGTTTTTTAACCAGGAACAGGGAGAATTAAAAAAAAAATCAGCCATATCTTGCCCGCAGTTTGCCTTTGATTTTTTTGTTTGTTTGTTTGTTTGTTTTGAGACAAGAGTCCAGTGTTTAGTCCATGCTAGTCTGAAACTCACTGTGTATCTCTGACTAGCCTTGATCAAGAGGCTATCTTCCTGTATTAGACTCCTGAGAGCCAGAATTACAGGCATGAGCTACCATCCTGATTCATTTGTCTTTCTTGTTTAAAATGTGTTAGAACAGCAGTTTTTGACCTTTTCTTTAAAATATTTAAAAATTAAGAAAAATAGTTTTATTTTTATGTATAGACTTGTGTACACGTGTGATCGCCTACGGAGGTGGTGAAGAGAGGACCATAGTTACAGGTGGTTAGGAGCTTCTAAACTGAGCAAGGGTCCTTAGCAAGAGCAGCACACACTCAGTCATGAATTTAATACATGAATGCACCTTCTTGTTGAATTCTGAACCTTAGCTTTTCATGTAATACCAAGTTTCCTTTGTCACAGAGAGAGGAGAAGGGGGCCAAGGAGAGCAGCCGTCTCCGAGTGCAGGTTGGTCCAGCCCTCAGATCCCTTCGAGGACACAGTCTGTGAAGTCGCCTGGACCTTATAAAAAGCAGCTCAGCGAGGAGCTCCAGCGGCGCTCTTCAGTGCTAGGTAAAGCAGCGTCTTACCCTCTTCGTGTGTGAGTCTCCATCATGTGTTTCTAGGTCAGATATTAACAGTTTTCCTGTTTCTGGGAATAGTTAAGTACTCTTTAGAATAAGTAAAACTCTAGTAATAAAAGAATTTTTCAATTCCCGAAACTCTCTTCATCATGTCATTAAACTTTGATTGTGCAAGCACTGATTGTCTTGACTGAATTTTGATTAATTGCTTGCTTGGATTTCAGCAGAGAACACTTTGCCACATCCCCAGGAGAACACAGGTTAGTTCCAACTTTACAGATGGATTCTGCACCTATTCTTGGGATGCTAATGAAGTGTGATGTCCATGCCACTGGCTGCCGAACACTGTCAAACTCCATTCGTGGGCTGTCAGTTGGATTGTTCTTAGGCTGTCGTTGTTGGGGTTCACACTGTCTGTGTGGCTGAATACACTGCTTCTCTTGCTTGCTTGTTTTCCATCTTGCCTGCTTGTTTACCATGTAGTCACCTCATCATTTTTCTGCTCTTCTGATGGGTGTGGGCTGGCAATCTATGCTTCAGTTGAGGACTCGGGTGGTTTATATTTTATTTCTGTTAGATTGTCTAGCTTGGTGATAGAAGAAGGGCAGTGGCAGCGGTTCCATAGAGAGGAGAACCAAGTGTCCCTAAACCCCGTGCCTGTCCTGTCTGGCCACCAACTTCCATGAAATGCTTGAGTGAACACTGCTTGTGTAATGGTGGTTGGCAGAATGTTTTATTGCCTGTTGAGACTGGATGGTGGGGGAAGCAGAAGTAGACGAGGAGCTTCTGCTGAAGGTTAGGACAGAGCGGACTGTGTCACACCCACAGGTTTTCCAGGGCAACCACCTCTGCCCAACTTATATCATTTTGAAATGAAGAGTTGGGAGAGGGGCAGAGGACTTTCTTTTCATTCTAGATCACCCAAGTTTAACCTTAACCTTGTTACAATTCCCTTAAACCCGACCCGTGGCTTTGGAGGATAAGGCAGGAGGATTGCAAGTTCAAAGCCAGCCAGGAAATAGTAGGAGATTCTAGACCAATGTAGATTCCACAGTGAGACTATCTTAGGGGAAGAAGCAAAAACAAGTTACAGCCACAAAACCTGGCCCTTGGCAACACTGCGCTGTATTTGAGGATGCTCTTCTGCTCAGATTCTATGCTGAATTAAACGTTACTGTCCGAAAGCTTTTGTTTATTTCCTTCTCCTTGCTAAACAACACACATTTAGTTTTTCATATAATACCAAGCTATTCTTTGCTGCAGAGGGAGGAAGAATGGGCCAAAGGGTAGTCTCTGGGTTTCTTCACTTGTGAAATTGAGGAATTGGACTCGGATCCTTGTAGTCTTGTAGGGGTTGCAGAGTTGTAGCTTGCCAAAATTTGCCTTTGTTGTTAGGATAAATCTGAACTGTTTGTCCATAGGCAGAGCGTGGATGATCTTCACCGTGGTTCCCACGCTCCTTACTGTCCAACAAGTCTACTTGCGTCTTAGATTTTCCCTTGGAGGTCTTAGATCTCAGAAGCTTGGGACTGCTTAGTCACATCCATCCCCCCGCCCCCACTACATGTCTAACTCTACAGTTTGGTACTTCTCCTATCTTAGGGAAGTTACTTGATTTTCTGGAATCCATTTTACAGATGCAGTAGCTAATGGTGCTTGTCTGAGGGCAAGGGTCTCCTTTCTTCCACTGAGGCCAAGCAGGTCTCCCTGCTCATTCTTTCCCAGTGGAAAATAGTGATACTTTTCTTTCCACTATGCAGTGAAACCTATGATAAAGTTTAATTTATAAATTAGACCAAGAGATTAATAATAGTAATGCTAACCAGCACAGTGGTAACTATAGTAAAATTGTGTGAATGTGATCTGTTTCTCTTGAGCTAGGACAGATACTAATATTTTCAGACTATATGACCAAGGGTTACGGAAACCTTAGGAAGTAAAACTGAGATAGGGAGGAGGGAGGGATTATGTAAGTTGGGGGGACTCCACAGGTTGTTAGATTACTATGCTTAAGCTAACAAGAATGCTCATCTTTTTTTTTTTTTTTTTTTTATCAAGCCACCTTCATTTTCCCCTGAGAGTTTGAAATTTCTATAGCCAGGTATCCAGGTATAGATAGAAATTTCACTTGTGATTTTTGTGTAAATAAAAAAGGAATAGGTGGCAGCTATGGTAGTCATACTTTGTTCTGGATTCAAAGCCAGAATTTGGACTTGTTTTATTATCAGTAGGTTTGGTTTCATATTATTTCAAATGTAAGTGATCCCTTGCAGCGTGTAATTGCAAGGTTGAAGAGGTGGCGGATATCGGTGTGGGCTGGGGGAGAGTAGGGTCGAAGCCTTTGGCAGTTTTAATCTGCTTGGACACTGGTCATATTTTATCATCCTGGATGTCCTATAAAGCCTGCTAGGATCTTTGGAAAGCTGGTCGATAAAATTTCTTTCTGATGATCGGCTATGGAACAGAACAGTTTGGTCCCATTGCTTATTTATTTGGCTTTTAGACCAAGTTAAAATAATTCTCTGGGATTACTTTTTTTTCTGTTCAGTGTTTCCCAGGTGTTTGTTATTTATTTGGTTGGGAAAAAAGTGTGCAATAAATCATTAATAAATTCTGGGCTTGTGAGTGATGACTCCATTTCCACCCTCGAAACCATCCATCATTTAAGGTAGTTCTCAGTACTTAACTACATTAAAGTCGTGGTTTATGTGTCATAAGACATACTTGAAACATCTTATTACTCCTGATAAAGATCAGTTTTAATTCTAATCAAATGTTAATGGCTGAGACAACACATGTATGCTAACAATAGAATATGATTGTATTATATTACACGCGTATAATGTTTAATATTATTACTAAAAACTATAAAACAATTAAGTGTTTTATTTTAAATCTGACTCAGACTCCAGAAGGAAAGTAGAACCAGCCTTTGGAGGTCATGACCCACGTACAGCTGTTCAGCTCCGAAGCCTCAGCACAGTGTTGAAGCGCCTCAAGGAGATCATGGAAGGGAAGAGCCAGGTACTACGGTGCTTGGGAGAATTCACTGAGCTCATGGAGATCATGCCATACCCTCTGGCAGTGGCATCAGATCACTTAAATGAAAGTTTATTATTTCTTCTGATTCTGAATACCAGAGTTTTACACATAAATTTTTATTTTTTTTTTAAAGTGTAGTTTGTTTCTTATTTGCCCTTCTTATGTTTTGTTTCGGTGTTGCTTTTCAGGTCAATGTTAGTACATATTCTCACATGTGGCTTTGTCAACAAGCTTTATTATTTTTGTTCATAAATAGGGTTCAGGTTTCCTTTTGTCCCTATAGATATCTAGTTGGATCCAGTACATTGTTTTTAGAAAGCCTTTCCTTCAGTGACTGCATTAGCTCATTAGAAGTTCATATGCTGTGTTGGCATGCCACTCTTTCCTGTACTAAAGTTCCATTTTTTTATGATTTTGTACTGATGCTCTGTCTAAGTTATTGTAGCTTTAGAATGAGTTCTAATACTGGGTGAGGTAAGTACTTCAATTTTTCTTCTTTAAGATTATGTTGGCTATTTTAACCTTTTTGCATTTTATCTTAAGAACTAGCTTGTCAAAAGATACCTTCTAAGATTTCATTTGTCATTACAACTTAATACTCATACTTTGAAGAAGCCGTCACACATTTTTGTGTTTGTAGGACAGTGACCTGAAGCAGTACTGGATGCCAGATAGCCAGTGTAAAGAGTGCTATGATTGCAGCGAAAAATTCACGACCTTTCGGCGCAGACACCATTGCAGGTTGTGTGGGCAGATTTTCTGCAGTCGTTGTTGTAATCAAGAAATCCCTGGAAAGTTTATGGGCTACACAGGTAAGTGTATTTCCTTAACAGTATCGTATTTAAAAGTCAAATTATGAAATAGTTAAATAGAAGGCCAATATTAAGCCATTTTTTAAATTTTGGGCTTTATATTTATGGTAGCAGGGTATTATAATGAGAAAAAGAGATACACTTTGATTTTAAGAACTTTATATTTGAATAGTAAAAGAGATGAGATAAATAACTAGAGTAAAAGTAGAGATATTGTAAAACTTATAGCAGCATTAGAGATTATTAGATAAGTAGATTGTAAATTTATATTTCTATAGAGTTTCTATTCACAAAGTAAAGGTTGACAAAGTGTATTTTGTCAAATTGTATTTTATTCATATTATTTCATTGGGAATGTAGTGAAATTGTAGTAATGGAGAAAGTTCAAGGATGGAGGTTTGTTAATTGAATGCAGTCAGTGCTCAGGTTAATACTTAACAAACTCCGTGTGAGGGTGTTGGACTCCTTGGAACTGGAGTCACCGACCAGTTGACAGCCGTGTGGGTGCTGAGAATTGAACCCTGGTCTGGAAGAGCAGTCCGTGCTCAACTACTGAGCCGTGTCTCCAACTCAAGTTTCCTTATTTTTTATGTCTGTCTTCATAAGCAATTCTCTTCTCCTTAACTCTGTTCTTTAACACAGTTTCTGCGTGTAGTTTTGGTGACTGTCCTGGAACTAGCTCATATAGATTAGGCTGACCTGAACTCACACAGATCTGCCTGCTCCTGCCTCCTGAGTGCTGGGATTAAAGGCGTGCACCACCACCACCAGACTTTAACAGTTTTTATTCACCTACTTAAAGTTTGAGACTCTTGGCAATCTTATCTTAGCAAGCAATATGGCAACAGAAAGTAAGCACTTCTTCCTGTAGTTTTTTTTTTTTTTAATTTGTTTTATATTGGTATTCCCAGGAGGTTGAGCCCAGGGCCTTGTGTGTAGCTACATTCCTAGCCAATTTGTAAGGTTCATGAGCTGGGAATTTGAGTCCTTAAGCTCACCCTTTTTTCTACTTTGTGTTGTATATTTAGGAGTAATGAACTAATCTCATACTTGTTGTTTTAACAGGAGGTTTGTTAAATATTAACCTGAGCACTGTCCGTATTCAATTAAGAAGATCTAGAGTTACTCTTGCAAGTCTTTATTTCCCTACCACTTTCTCAGTGTTCTTTTTACTATTGGAAATACTCACTAATATTTTTATTTTTATTTAGTTTTTTAAAATTTTTTTTTTAATTATTTTATGTGCATTAGTGTTTTGCCAGCAAGTATGATATATGTGTGCTATGGATATGCGTAGTGTTCATAGAAGTCAGAACAGGGCATTAGATCTCTTGGAACTGGAGTTATGGATGGTGTTGGGAATTGAACCTGGGTCTTCCTCAAGAGCACCAAAGTGCTGTCAACCACTGAACCTTTTCTCCAGCCTTTTTATTAATTCTTTTAAATTGAATCTAATTAGAGAACCAATTTCAGAAACTTTAGAAGCCAGTTCAGAAAATTTATCCCTAAGATACTGTGTCTATAAAACCGTTCTTGCACTGAGTCAGTAGAGTCAAGTTTCTCCAGAGAGTGGAACTAGTGGGTGGGCAGACAGTTACCTGTAATCAAGGCCTCGCTCAAATGTGTGTGCGGCCGTGAGTCTAAGTTGAAGGCTTAGTCAGGAGACTGGAAACTAGGATTCCAGTTTTTGTGCTGAGGCAGAGCTCCTTTGGCTTTTGGAAACTCTTCGTACTTGGGGCCTCAGTTGATTCGAATGAGAGTCGTGCTGTGGGTAGTTAACTGCTGTCAGAGGAAAGTCAGCCTTACATGTTAATAACACTGGAAAAACAACAAAACCAAATGAGCTTCAACATTAGTGTTGGAACAAAAGTTTGTGTAGTCAAATTGAACCTTAAGATTAGCCCTTGCAAGTGAAAAATGTATATTGGACACAATTACTTGCGAAGACCCAGAAAGAAATGTAAAATACCTGGAATATTGATAGATAGAAAAATCAATGAATTGGCCTGGTGTTTTGGCACATGCATTTAAGCCCAACACTCAAGAGGCAGAGATTGGTGAATCTCTCTGAGTTTGAAACCAGCTTTGTCTATGCAATGAGACATTGTCTCAAAAAATAGAAGGAAAATCAATGAGTTTTATAGAGAATCAGTGAGAATTAAGCTGCTGTTATTGGTGGTGATAGCAGTAACATCTGCATTTATCAAAAGTTTTTAAATTGCATATGTTCAGTTGTCTCCAGTGAGCTATAGATTCTGCAGGCAAGGACATGTCTTGTCAATCTAAAGCCTTCCAACAATTCTAGGCATGTCCAGTAGTCCTTTGCTGATGAACAAACATTCTTCATGGAATGAAAGCTTTTGTGGTCAGGCTTGGCTCTGTAATTTTAGTAGTTGACTGGTTAAGGGAGTTTATTGTTTATAGTCTAACCTAGTCTTTGCTGTGGTAAAAATTGAAGGGCTTTCTGCAGGGAATAATTTTGCTTCCTTAATATAGTTAAGTCTGGGACAGCAGTAGTGATTATCAGAGCACTTTTATTTATCCTACACCAAAGAACACTTTATTTTGTTATTGTTTACTGAGTCCTGATTAAAATGGATATATTTGTCTTCACTGAGTTTTAGATAAATTTCATCTGCTAAATTATAATGTTAGAAATTAGTAAACTAGTAACATTTTATTTTGATTAATATACATATATAATTTGATTAAACAGAATTATATAATAGTTATCTTAAAATGAGACAATAAAAGTAGTATACTTGGTAGTAATTTATGGTAAATGTATATTGAACTTTTGGAAATATTTTGTATTACTTCAGATTTTTAATATTAATGATAAAATATAATTAAGGTATAATTGTTAAATGACATGCTATTTAGTGAACAGCTATTTGTCTTGCTACTTAGTGGTAGGCTAAGTTCTGAGAAATGTATTCTTGGAAATTTTTGTTTGTTTGAACATCATAGAGTATACTTAGGAATAGCTAGATAGTAAGTTAGTAAGTTGCCTCCAGTGAACTATAACTTCTGTAATGGCAGGGAATGATCTCATTGTTAGAACAAAAACTATCAAGTCAAGAAACAGAGCCAAGGCCCTGTGGTGGTGGTGCATGCTTTTGATCCCAGCACTCGGGAGGTAGAGGCAGGTCTACTAGAGCCTGGTCTACAAGAGCAAGTTCCAGGACAGCTAGAGCTGTTAGAAAGAGAAACCCTGTCTCGAAAAACCGAAAAAGAAAAAAGAAAAAGAACAGAGCCAAGACCGACCACAAATGCATTGTGGTCATTGAAGAGTGTCCACTAGACGTGCCCTTCCTTCTGGTTTTTTGAGTCACAGTACCATATGACTCAGGATGGTTCTGAAAGCCTTATCCTCTGTCTTTGCCTACCAGAAGGCCTTCTCTTCCTACTCCACATACCAGGTATGTGCCGCTATGCACAACTTCCCTGTGCATGTATGGTCTTCCCAATACCAACATGGCCCCTCAAAACAGTAAACTCTTATTTTGGTGAGTAGAAGAAAAATGATAACAATAAAGTAAAGATAGAAACCAGTGACATAGTTGTTTCTCTCTTTGTTTTTTTTTTTTTTTTTTTTGAGACGGGGTTTCTCTGACTGTCCTGGAACTCATTTTGTAGACCAGGCTGTCCTTGAACTCACTGAGATCCTTCTGCCTCTTGCTTGCCTGCTGGGATTAAAGGTGTGCGCCCCCACCTCCTGGCTAGTTGTTTATCATCAAGTGTTATTTAGATCATGTGTTTTACAGTTTCATGACTTACAGATCAGTAATGTGAATAATATGCCACCCTAAACTATTATGATGCCTGTTGGACCAGGCAGTAAGATGTTTTCAGCCCCACTACAATCTCACAAAACCACTGCTGTATGATGTGGTCGGTTGTTAACTGAAATGCCATATGGTACTTGGTATATTTTGCCTCTTAGTACACCAGATTGTTATGGAGACACATCAAACAGTGTTTTATAAAAATGAGTAGAAATGAAACTTATTTTGGGACAGGGCTGTGTCCAACAAAATGGTTAAAAGTATTACGGAATGTTGTTTGTGCTTCTAGGAATGATTCCTGGAATGGAACACCATTCCAGGTTGAACTCGGCCTCATGCATTCTGGGCAAGCACTCTGTCACTAAGCCACACTCTTAGCTAGAACATTCCATTTCTTCTTCACTAGGGCTTTTCTTTTAGTTTGGATCCTATGTGTCATATTGTGTGTAAGACTATTTCCTATTAGTTTTAAAAGCTGTGCTAGTAGATGGAGGAAATCTACAAGACCCTATTCCTAGAAGAAGAGCTACGTGTCTGCTGAGAGAAGCGCAGTCTGTCTTCTCCAGGGACAGGCCCCTGAGAGGTTATCCAGTCCCATGCAGTCAGCCCTACACACATCTGAATAGATCAGGTTGTAGTTTTTTTAATTTTTTTATTGATTTTATTGAACTACATGTTTTGCTCTGCTCCCCTTCTTGCCTCTCTCCTCCCCTCCAACCCTCTCCCATAATCCCCATACTCCCAATTTACTCAGGAGATCTTGTCTTTTTCTACTCCCCATGGAGATTAGATCTATGTAAGTCTCTCTTAGTGTCCACATTGTTGTCTAGGTTCTCTGGGATTGTGATTTGTAGGCTTGTTTTCTTTGTTCTATGTTTAAAAACCACTTATGAGTGAGTGCATATGATAATTATCTCTCTGGGTCTGAGAGCATTATTTCATCCCTACTTACTATCTAGGGACAATAAGTTGTTTCTGTTGTTATTTACTATATTAAGATCTGTTCTCATTGAAAGTACTACCTCTGATAGATCCCTCATTGCATGAATACAGTTATGAAAAAAATATTCTTACAGCCATGATTTTCTATTATTATTGGGTCAAATTTTCTTAACTGTTACAGATACTTGAAGTAATTGAGACGCTTGTTGAATTTATCGTAATAATAAATGTAGCATGTACAACAGACCCAACCAAGTATTCTACATATTTGGAATGTCTTTTTGATAGTCTTTACTTGGAGACACTTCCTTTTATTAAAGTACCTATTAACACAAAGATTTAAAATATTTTATTAACTAATATATTACTGAAACCTTTCCTTATTATTTTTCCTCCTAGGAGACCTCCGAGCGTGCACATACTGCAGAAAAATAGCCTTAAGTTATGCTCATTCCACAGACAGTAATTCCATTGGGGAAGACTTGAATGCTCTTTCAGATTCAACTTGCTCTGTGTCTATACTTGATCCAAGCGAACCTCGGACACCTGTTGGGAGTAGAAAAGCTAGTCGTAACATATTTTTAGAGGATGATTTAGCCTGGCAAAGGTACTGTCACTTGAATATAATTTGATTTAAATGAGAAATGCTTAGTCCTGTGACTTGTATTTTTTATTAGAATTTATTTTTCTTATTATCTGCCAATTTATTATTTTTTCCAGTTCATATATAGAAGGATCATAGATGTTTATGGATGGTGATTATATTAGCATTGAAATATAAGTGCATGAGAGGAGAGTTTTTATGCTTTTCTACTATTAAATCAAGAACAGAATATGTGGCAGGTGCATGATCCTTGCAGTAGTTGGTGATGAGGCAACAGAGTCATGACATTAATAATTCCTGATGTAGTCCTCTTAGAGAAAGCAGAGTGCACCTAAGATCTAGGTCTGTTTCCAAATTCAGTTAGTGTTTTTTTTTTTTGTTTTTTTTTTTGAGTATTTGACGTGTTTATGTTTACACTGGAATAGATTCAAGGTTCATCACTTATTTACTTTAGGAGAATTATCTTCTTACAGATGATTTCTAATTGTCAGCAATCTTAAGAGTTTTAATTGCTTTTTCTTTTTCTTTTTCTTTCTTTTTCTTTTTCTTTTTTTGTTGTTTTCTTTTTGGATTTTGAGACTGAGGCAGGGTTTCTCTGTGTAGCCCTGGCTGTCCTGGAACTCACTCTCTGGTCCAGTCTGGCTCTTTCACCTGCCTCAGCATCACAAGTGCTGGGATTGAAGGCATGCACCACCATACCCATTTTAACTGACATTCTTCTGATGAGTAATTTTCTTAGTTACTTTTTAACAAAGAGAAGAATTAGTATATATTGCATACTTAAAAAGAAATGAATTACAACTAATTCAGCATATGTGAACCCAGAGACATAAGTAGAAAAGAAAATCACAAATCAAATACGTACTAAGATTCTAATTATATATTGTTCAGAATTATATAAATGAAGATACAAATGCTATAATTATTAGTTACTTGTCTCATTACTCTAACACAGTCCCTAACAGAAGCAGCTTATAATTGATTCTGTATTTACTAAAACAGTATAAAGATTACATTCTTTAGCTTTTTTATTATTTTAGTTAACAATGCTTACTATTTGTGTGTGGTCCAGTTGTTTGATCTCAGAATTGGCAGATATCATTTAGTAAAGCATCATGCGAGTCAGAAGATGAACTTCAGAGACAGAATAAAATAGTTCAGTTTTGGGCGCTGTGTTAAGATTCATGTGTCGTTCTCCTTTAGTCAGCACATCTTTTTGGTGGAAATCGTTTCTTTTTTTGACAGATGTTGATGCTAAAGTTCAGAAAGTTTGTGTAGTGAGTCTGATTTCACGCAGCTAGTAAGAAATGGATGGGCCCTGTTCTTGGACCTCGGTTAGTTTATGAGTTGTGGGTTGTGGGACAGATAATAGAATTTTGGAACACAGATTTTTTTTTTTAAACACAAATCACTTTTCATCACTTTCTATATGTGGTATGGAAATGAGTTTTATAAATCACCTATCCAATCAGATTTGGTGTTTTATTGATATTCAGTGCATTTAAAACATCAGTATTTGATATTATAGATGAAACTGTGCTTTTTTTTTTTTAAGATAAGGTTTCTGTGTAGCCCTAGCTTTCTGGAACTCAATATGTAGTCCAGAATAGCCTTTTCTGTCTCTTGAGTGCTGGATTAAATGTGTGGACCACCACTGCCCAGTGAAACTGCACTTTTTGCCTCAAATAAATGAAAAGGACAAAAATGAAGTATATATAATCTCATTGTTGCAGGGAAAAATAATTTGCTTCAAAATTTGAAAGCATCTGCTTGCAGCCCCAAATGACCCCAGTGTTTTCATTTTCTTCATAGCTTGATTCATCCAGACTCCTCAAACAGTGCTCTTCCGACAAGACTCGTCTCTGTTCAAGAGGACGCAGGGAAGTCTCCTGCTCGGAACAGGTAAGCGCCCAGTAAAGCTGCTCTGGTTTGTGTTTATGTCCATACAAATGAGAACAGACAAACAGGTGCGATTGTGTCCTTCCTTCGTCTGGTAGTTTCTCTTTCAGCTATTCCTTGATGATCGCAGATATTGAGACCTTCTTCTGTCTTCTGGTTTAGTGAGGCATGTAGGCATTCTGTGAAAATGTGTACCAGGGAAACAGAATGGCAGATGCTCAAGGGGGACCACACCTGGTAGGAGTATGAGAGGTCCTGTGTGCTGCAGTAGACTGTCTCAGGATGGATGAGTGGTCAGGGCATTTTAATCTGGTCTCAGATGAGGAGTATTGAAAGTAAAAAAATATTCAATTGCTGTGTAAAATTGAAAATTGTAAAAGTCTTTTAAGAATATGGAAATAAATGTCCATATATTTTCCATTAAGACATACTTATATTTTGTCTATTTATTTTGACACATCTTATATAATACTTTTCAAGAAACCATTAAAGAGTAATGCCATCGTTTTTTAGTTTTTTTGGTAAATAAGTTCAAGAAATGTTTTATGTTTGAGACAGGATCTTGTTGGCCTCGGACTCACTGTGTTCCCAGACTGGCTTCTAACTTACAGTCCTCGCTTAACTCGTTGAGTGCTGGGATTGTAGGCAAGAACTGCTTACACCAGCTGAGAATTCTTCTTTGTTCTTTTAGTAGCAGTTTTGGCTTCATAGCAAAATTAAACGGAAACTTGGAATCATGCAGCATGTATATAGAAATAATGATTTCTTTCAGTGGTAATGTGCACTTAAGTTTCTTCTATCTCTTCATGACTTACTGCATATTTTTCTTTGTTGCTAAGCAATATTTTAGTTTCTAGATGTACCATAATTTATATGACTTCACCTTCTGAAAGACATCTGGGTAAATTCCATGTTTTGGTAGTTATATAGAAGACTGTGAACATCTGTGTGCAATTTTTTTTTTTAAAGTGAGACTTGGCTTATTATGTTGCTCTGTCTGACCTGGAACTCACAGAGAGCTACGTGTTCCTAACTTCTAGTGCTGAGACTAAAGGTGCACACCACCACACTCAGCTCTGTGTCGTTTCGTTGTTATGTGTGGATGTAGTTTTAAGTTCATTTGGGTAAATACCAGAAAGCATGATTGTGGGATCATATAGAAAGAACATGTTTAATTTTGCAGGGGATTACCAAAGTTTCTTCTAGAACTGGCATTGCTGTTTTTCATTCCTATAGGCAGTGCAGGGGAGTTCCTCTTTTACTGCACCATTTCCAGCATTGGTGTTGCCAGTGTTTTGTAATGAAGTTTCCATTTCCTGATAAGAATTAAACATTTTTTTTTCATTTGATTATTTACCTTGCATGTATCTTCTTTGTAAAAGGAGTACATTTTGTGGTTACATTGTTTATTTTTTTCACTGTTGAGTTGTAAGAGGTTTTATACATATATACATGTATATATGTATAAACCTATCTTCTGTTTTCTAGTTAGTATAATGGCCGTAAGGATGTGAGAAAGTGAGGCATGTAGGGCGGTGGTAGCTCACACCTTTAATCCCAGCACTCTGGAGGCAGAGGCTGGTGGATCTTTGAGTTTAAGGATAGCCAAGACTACACAGAGAAACTCTGTCTCAAACAAAACAAAACAAAACAAATCTTTATTAAATGTATCATTTGCAAATACTTTTCAGTGGTGGCTGGTCTTTTCATTTTTTGACATTGTCTATGGAGCACAAGTACTTAATTTTAATTGGAGTGTGCCTTTGGTGTTATGTCTAAGTAGCTATTACTATATTCATGGCATCTAGGTTTTCTTCTGTGTTATATAGTCTTCCATTTTATGTTTTGATTTGTGATCCAGTTTAAGTTATTTTTTTGTGATGGGCATAACTTTATATTTCTTTTTGTATATGTTGGTCCATTTGATTCAGTATCATTTACTGAAAAAAATCCTCTTTGCTCTTTTTTTGCCTTTGCTTCTTTATCAGAGGTCATTTGACTGTATTTTGAGGGTCTTGAACTCTGTTGTGCTTTACTGACATGTTTGTTTTTTTGTTTCCCCATGCTTTATGGTCCTGATAGATGTAGTTGTGTAGTAAGTCTTGAATTCAGGCAGTGTCAGTTCTCTAACTTTTGTTTGTCTTCTTATATAACAGTGTGTTCAGGGTTTGCTGGGTTTTTATTTTGTTGTCCTTACGGTCTTTAGAGTCAGCATCTGCAGTGTAATTCACTTTGCTTTCAAGATTGTGCTGACTCTGAATGTGTTTTTAGACAACTCTTTTTTTAAAAAAGATTTTTTTATTTTTATTTTATGTGTATGTATGTTCTACCTTCATATATGTCAGTGTACCACATTCATGCAGTGCCCATGGGCGATCAGAAGGGGGTGTCAGATCCTCTGGAACAGTCATGTGGGTGCTGAGTGATGGCTGCTAGAAACATCTTGGATTCATTATAAATTTGATTTTGAATTAAGTTTTGGTTGTTGTATATTCAGAAAATTTTCGTGTTTGCCAGATTTTTCAGGACCCCAAGATTTAATTATGTGATCCTCTATGAGATCAAGACAAATTAAAGAAGGTGGGCGCTACACTAGGTTCATTTATTACATTTGATTGTCATTTCTTTTGGTCTACTTTACTATGTAATAATTCCTTTATTTTCCTGATAATCGATTTGTAAAGAGATAGCCAGTTATTTAGTAGGATGTCCACTGATTTGTGCTTGTCATATGCTTCTTGGATTGGATTTATGGTATAATTTTTATCCTTCCTTCCTTCTTGAAAGTTTTGTGTACTTTTCATTCTGTCCTACAAGAATGGGTACAGTTCTGTTTGTGTCATTGGTCGCATTGACTTACGGTTTTGCTAAGATTATGTCTTAGTTTACCAGTTTTCCCTTTGTCATTTAGAAGAGATATGTGGGGGATACTTTGAGGTTGCATTGGTTCAGTCAGTAGTTTTAGCTTTCTGACTATTGCTCTAAGGCTATAAAATGGTATTTGTTCCTAACTAAATCAGTCCTTCTGTAATTATTAGGTGACATTCTAACCTATGAAAACTTTCTCTTGTTGGAAAGTTGAAAGGGGGAATTTGGAGCATGCAATGTTCTGATTTAATTTTTAAAAGGAGTCTGACTTCTGTAGTGAGTATATCGGAGGAGAAGCAGCAGCCCAGGCTGGAGAACAGCATATAAGTGGGGTGAGGGGTGTGATTAAACTAGTAAAGGACAAGTTCTGCATATGTTTTGGTGGTATGTGTAAATAGGACTTGCTAATAAATACAATGTAGGCTAAACCAGAAAGGACATCAAAGATGACTAAGGGTTTTTTGACCTGAGCAGCTTAAGTGTGGTATTAGCTTTTATTGAAATGCAGTGGAGGGTGGAGCCATGTAACAGTTTGATTTTAGACATGTTGAATTTGATATATCATCTAGATATCCAAGAGAGATGTCAAGTAAACACACAGATGGGTTAGAGGAGAAGTACTGGCTAGAGACAGAGATCTCAGCATTGTCATCGTGTGAATGGTTTAATGGCATAGCTCACCAGGAAAGTGAATGGGAGAGAAGGGGTGGGGAAGTGAAGAGGAACTGGAAGAGGAGACTGAGATGGAGAGACCAGTGAGGTGAGAGAGAGAAAAGCCAGGAGGCCTTTTGTATCAGCAGCCATGAGCAAAGGTGTTGAGCAAGGGAGGAATTTACTGCAGCTGTGTTACCTAAGATGAGTTAAAGCTGAGCATTGGGTTTCGAACAACACCGGTGACCATAATAGACTATCTCGGTGGGTTGTTTGTCGTCAAAAAGAGAAAAAGGAAGAATTGGGGATGGGAGTTTCACTGTAAGGAGGGAATGAACAGAAGGATGTATAGCAGAGCCAGGTTTTAAAAGGTAAGATATTCACAGTCCCCTTGTCGGCATGTGCAGAAGCAGCTTTGCTGGTTTGTGTGTCTCCCTGGGCTTTGGGTTGAAGACGTGGATCGACAAGGTCTTCAGGCCAGATAGAATTGCGTCAGTATATGCCGTCTTAATAAAGTTTAGTCAGCATTCTTGTCATAGCTTATTTGCTAAAGCTTTTGACAGCAAAAAAAAAAAAAACAAACCCTAATTTTCTTTTCTTCTTGATGCTGCTTTATTAGAGTGCACGCAGGGATTCTTTTGCAATGTTAGAGAATCAGGCAGCATGAGTGAATGCACACACTGAGGAGGAGACTTGAATTAGTTGACTGAGATACAGCCACAGTCTTTCACTAAAAGAAAGTGTCAAGAAGCAAGTAATTGATTATTATTAACTAACTCTGCTAAGTCTTTGAATGATTTATTTTAAAATATTTTTGTGTTTATACTGCACAGAGGGTGAATTTCCTCTTGAAACTTAGGGTTTTGGCTGACACTTCTTAGTATTAGTGAACTGACTTTAGATAAATTTCTTTATACCTAATTCTTGAATGATGTGGGATTTCCCTCTGTACCATTAATTAATAAAGAAACTGCTTTGTACCTACAGCAAGGCAGAACTTAGGTAGACAGGGAAAGCTAGACTGAGTGCTGGGACAAAGGAGAGTTAGGGAGAAGCTATGTAGCCCTGCTGGAGACAGATGGACGGAACTTTATCTGGTAAGCCACAGCCACATGGTGATACACAGATTAATAGAGATGGATTAAATTAAGATCTAAAAGTTAGCCAATAAGAAGCTAGAGCTAATGGGCCAAGCAGTGATTTGAATAATATAGTTTCTGTGTGTTTATTTTGGGGCTGAGTGGCGAAGAGAAACAAGTGGCTCTTTTCAACACTTGAGTTAAAGATTGTTTTACATTTAGTAGATGGTAGTGCACGCCTTTTTCCTGCTCTTGGCAGGCAGAGGCAGACGTATCTCTGAGTTCAAGGCCAATCTGGTCTACAAAGCAAGTTCCAGGACAGCCAGGACAAATAGAGAAACTCTGTCTTGAAAAAAATCAAACAAAACAAAGCCAAACCCCAAATTTTATCATTTATATATTTATTATTATTATTATTTGTGTGGGGGGGGACGCGTGCGCATGCGTGCATGCACAGGTCACAGTATGCGTGGACATTCCTATTCTACCATGTGGGATCCAAGGTTTGAATTCAGATCAGCAGGTTCGGTGGCAAAGACCCCTATCACCTGAGCCACCCCGCTGGCTCCTGGTTCTTGAATTTTTTTCCCTAACCTGTAAAGTGGAGCTACTCCATAGAATGTATGAGGATTAAGTAAAAAAATGTATAGGTTACCCCAGAAATGAGTTGTGTAGTGTCAAGTGAAGTTTCTTTTCATCTCTTCTGTTAAAGCTAAAGTTAGATTTTATTTTTGTTTTCGTTGTAGACGATGACTAAAATTTCAGTTAAATTAAAGAATACATAAAAGCTTGGTGTTATGATATTCTGTTTATAAGTCACATGATATGTGCACAGAAGCAAAGTTAAAGATCATGAGAATACTTGCAGAAGAAGAGGAAACACAGTTCCTGTAACTTTTTTTTTTACTGAAGAAATACGTGTGTGTTTGTGTGTGTGTGTGTGTGTGTGTGTGTGTGTTGGTTTTCTGAGAGACAGGATTTCTCCGAGTAGCACTCTCTCTCCTGGAACTCACTTTGTAAACCAAACTGACCTCAAACTCAGAGATCTTCCTGCCTCTGCTTCCCAAGTGCTGGGGTTAAAGCCATGTGCCACCACCACCTGGCCTGTATAATATTATTTGAGTACAGTATTTTAAATATAGCCTTACTAATGAGAAGGAAAATAATTTGTTCTTGAGGCTGCTGTAATTCAGGTCATGTGTAGTATTCCTATTATCAGATTCATTACAGGATGTTCAACTCTAAAACTGATTCTTCTAATTTCTGGGTGATAGAAAAACAAGGGCAGGCTGGATTTGGCATGCATGCCATACTGCGTTTAACCCAGATACGCAAGGTTATTGTATGTAATTGTTATTTCTTATTTTTCTCAGTTATAAAAATGAATTTCCAGTATTTTTTACAAGCAGAGTTTGTGTGCTTCCTTTGAAATACTAATATGCTAACTGTATGATTATTTCCTATAGTATTTAAAACTGTTCAAATTTTTTTGTTCAAACAATTGTTTCTGGTGTCCTTCCCTGCTTTTCTTCAGTGGTATTATTGTTCCTCTAGCAATAGCACCTAAACATCTGAGTATGAATTTCACATAACTCCATTCGCAGGTGAACTTCAAATTGTGATTTTACTTTTTGTTTTTATTTCCAGATCAGCCAGCATTACTAATCTGTCACTGGATCGATCTGGTTCTCCTATGGTTCCTTCATATGAGACATCTGTCAGTCCCCAGGCTAACCGAACCTATGTTAGAACAGAGACTACTGAGGATGAACGCAAAATTCTTCTGGTACCAGTCCAGCATCTAACCTGTTGCTAGTTTTGAGCATAAAGAGTGATGACTTTTTATTCCCATAAAGAAATCCATATGTGTCAGCTGGGCTTGATATGCACGCCTGTAAATCCTGTACTGGGAAGGCTGAGGCAGGAGAGTCTTGTGTTGGAGGCTCGCTTGAGATAAGTGGGATGTTGCTCTAAAAAAATAAAGTTTATCAATTAAACAGAGAATTAATTAGCTTAACCTTTAATTTACTAGCATCAACTGAGAAACTGGGTAAATACTCTTTCATACTCATGTATTACTGTTTTCTCCCCCCTTTCATTTGACAAAATCATTTATCTAATATAAGAATTGAAGTTAGATTGTAGTTTGCTTAAACTTTGAAACATCATTCTTATATACATGGAAAACTCTGAGAAACTTTAATTTCAACTGTTTATATGACATAATAATTGGTTCTTTTTTCAGTTTATGTATATGTAAAACATTTGCCTAATTCTAAGAACAATTCAAAGATATGAAAGATAAGTCTTTTGTCTTAAAGAGGTTAATTCAGAAGACAAAAATGATATCAGTGGGAATATTTTTACTAGTGAAAGAAGTAATATTTTATTTTATAATTTTATTGTGTTTGAGACATGACCTCTGTGTTGCCTCAGTTTTCTCTATATAGATGAGAGTGTTCTTGAATTCACAGAGATCTGCCTGCTTCTGCCTTCCAAATGCTGGGGTTAAAAGGTACATACCACTGTGCCCAGCTTTGAAATACTACTTTAATAATAAAAATGTATCAAATGTATAACACAGGTATATATTATAGAGAAATAAAATAGGAAGATTGTTAGCAGTTGAGGGAGCAGGAAGTCTTCAAGGGCTTGAAATTACTTTTGTTAGGCAGAATGTGATATTACAAAGGTATAGATTTAGGATAAAAGCATTTTCCCTGGACAATAAGAATTTATTTGTTGAGATAAAATTTAAGTTGGAATCAGTACTAGTTAGATGACGGTTATTTTGATTTACTATTGGGAAGCAATCCATTCAGTCTGTCTGTTTACCATTTTAGAAGTGATAGGGCCTGGGAGAAGGGAGCCAACAAATGACCATGTTCTGACGTCTCCCTCTTTTTAATTTTTTATTAGTAGGATATCCAGAATGCTTTTGACTTGCGATGTTGTAGTTAAATCTAGCATTCTGTGTAATACTCTGCCACCAACACAGGGATCCAAACTATGTCTGGTACTATTGGTTACATTATTATAGTGATGAGAAAAACTAGAGAATAGCTTGGAAAGAGACACATATGATCAGTAGTTCCGGACCTTTGTAGAATTTAAGTCCATATTGTTTGCCTTTTACTAGGAACACAAATGTTATGATGTCGTATGCAAATAGGAAGTGATTTAAATCCCAAAGAAAAATTAAACTCAGTTCTGTCTTTAGATGAATGAAGGAGTTTATGATGATCCCAAGGTCCAAGCATAAACACGAAGTCATTAGTAAAGATAACAGGAGCTGAATCCATTAATTCTATCTGAGTTGATGCAAAGAAGGATGAGAAACATAAGTGTTCAGAGGCACTCTCTGAAGATGCACAGGTCAAAGCAGATATATACAGCAAATTTCCAGCTAAAGGGCAAAAGGAGATATTGACCATAGCATTAGAGGTTCTGTCTGCCCTTGTGGGGGCAAATAAGGCTCTATCTGCATATCCCTTCCCAACTGACTGTTAGTGGTGGCTCATGCTGTTAATTCCAGTACAGAGACAGAGGCAGGTGGATCTCTCTGAGTTCAAGGCCAGCCTGGTCTACAAGAGCTAGTTCCAGGACAGGTTCCAAAGCTACAGAGAAGCTCTGTCTTGAAAATCAACCAACCAACCAACAAACAAAAAAACAAAAACAAAAAAACCAACCCAAAAAACCTGAGTGTTAAGTTAAGGGTAATATAATACAACAAGGATCAAATCTATAAATGCATACAATTGCTGACATTGGGTTCTCCCCTGATTTATTAATTGAGAGAAAGAGGAGTAAGGTAAGCATTTGGTGTGAATAAATCCATTCCAAAGGTTTATCTTGGGCTGGAATGTAGTGGGGAAAGTAAGTAAGCTTAAAGGAGGTGAAAGACCTACGTGATACACAAATGCTCTTTTTAGTCTAGATTCAAATTGCTCTAGTTCTTTTCTTCTCAAAATCATATGCAAAGATTGTCCATGCCATCTTCCCTTCTAGAGAAGCCTGCTCTGGTTTCTGCCCCATTATTCGCACTCACCTTCTGTGAGTCTCCCTGCTTTTTTTTTTTTTTTTAAATCTCATAGCCTATTTCAGTTCCTGTTCCTGGCGCCACTTTTTTACCTCTCTACCTGGCGGTGGGACTTGAGAGAATAGAGCTGATAAAATGAGGCAGGTTAAAGTCTCATGCAATTGCCAGTTTTATTCAGAGCATCAGACGAATTTATATTCTGAGGGTAGGAGGAGTCACATGAGATATGTGCACTCAGAGCAAGCCACACGTGGAGATCAAGTCTCATAAGCATATAAATAAATAACAGTAGCCAGTTATGATGAATAATCTGAATTAAACTTCTATCTGCTATACCTGAGAGGAGCATAAAAACACATTCCAGGAGCAATTCCATGTTTTAAAGAAACTAAGGTCACAAGACTCTTGCCTTGTTTTCTTGGAGTTTTCCCATAAGCACTCAGAATTCTCTCACCTCTCCATATTTTGGAACTAGTTCCAACATCTGTCCTTACATATTTACATTTGAACTTGTAGTTCATGAACTTCTTTGAAAGTTTTCTTGAGTAGGAAGTTATTCAGCAAAGACTTTTCTTTAGAAACATTTACTGGTCAGTTGAGAATAATGGGAGGACATCTACAATCTGTGGAGTGGAGGCTACTCTAACTAGGTTAGTGTAATTGACTATCATCTTTGTCTACCTTGATTTGTCTCCATAGAATGTATTGTGTGCTTAACTAAGAGACAAGTAATATGTGCCATTGACTGAAAAAGAAGGAACATTTGGAATATTTTGTTTTGAAGAGAAAAAAAAGCCCAAATGAGTCAAATTCAGGCTGTTTCCATGCATGTGCCATTTATATTGAATAACTTATCATAGTTAGCAGCTGTGAAGAACTCCAAACTGAGATTCCTTTTGAGATCTCAATCATAGGAAAGCCTCTGAACAGGTACCCAGTACCCCTTTCAGGGATAACTAATTACTTTTGATGTGATTGCAGGACAGTGTCCAGTTAAAAGATCTGTGGAAAAAAATCTGCCATCACAGCAGCGGGATGGAATTTCAGGATCACCGGTACTGGCTGAGAACACATCCCAACTGCATTGTCGGAAAGGAATTAGTCAACTGGCTAATCAGAAATGGACACATTGCTACAAGGTATTATAATTTTAAAATGTTTTGAAATTATTCATTAGTTTATTGTTTATTAATGACTAGGATGTATATTTGAAGATGTAAGGGTCTCTTTTGCGAGTTATGGTGATGTTTTATGGATTTGATGGTTTGAGGAACAAGCTCTTGAACTTCCTTTATCTGATGAGAATGTTTGCAAGGAACCTGATTTGGGTTCAATTTACTATACTTAAAAACAAGGACTTGGAGCTGGTGAGATGAATCAGTGGGTGAAGGCACTTGTTCCCAAGCCGGAAGACCTGTGTTGGACTAACCAAACCCACATGCTATAAGAGGAGGACTAATATGGTGAAAAGCCCCATGGGAAAAACTGGGTGTAACAATGTACTCCTGTAACCCAGCTTGGGGAGGCAGAGGCCAGAGGTTCAGCTGGTCTAAGTGTAATTGATGAACTCCAAATTTAGTGAGATACCCGTGTCAAAAGATAGGTGGATATCAATTGAGGAAGACACTTCCTGTTGATTCAATTACTCGCTTCACCATGTGAGCACCCATGTGCACACAAACACAAAGAACCTGAAATATGCAGTAGTTCTTCATATGGCTCCCTAGCGAAGCTGAATAGGAAAATGTAGCTGGAGTCTAAGGTCAAAGGATTTTCTTGTCACTATTCTGTAATCTAGACATTGCAACCTGGATTGAGAATTGAGTCTGTAACTCATTTTTGGAGGGACCTAGTCTGTCTCAGAGATCACATATAACAAACAGGATCTGCTGGTTTTTTTGGGTTAGCTACTTTTCTGTTGCTGTGATATTATACTATGTCCAAGGAAATTTATAGAAGAAAGAATTTATTTTGGCTTAAGGTTACAGAGAGTTAAAGTACATAATAATGGGTATCTTAGTTAGAATTTCTGCTGCTATGGTCAAACACCTTACATATATGTAATGACAACTATAAAAAAAGGGGTCATGATTTTGAAAAAGAGCGAGGAGGGTATATGGGAAGGCTTGGAGGAGGAAAGGGGAGGGAGAAATGATGTAATTATAATCTCAAAATGAAAAAAAAATAAAAACACAACACAACACCATGACCAAAGGCTCCTTGAGGAAGAAAGGGTTTGTTTCAGCTTACAACATTCAGGTCACACTCCATCACTGAGGGAAGTCAGCACAGGAATTCAAGCAACGGTGTAGAGGCAGGAACTGAAGCAGAAGCCTTGGAGGAATGCTGCTTACTGGCTTGCTCTCTAAGGCTTGCTTAGCCTCCTTTATTACATACCTGCTACCACCTGCCAAGGGGTGAGAGCACCTGCAGTTTGTTGGGCCTTTCCATTTCAGTCATTAATCTAGAAAATGCTCCAGAGGTTTGACCACAGGCCATTCTAGTGGGGGCATTCTAGTAAGGAAAAACAAAAACAAGCAGAAAACAAAACAAAGTCCTAAACAGGACAGCAGCGTAGCATTGCAGCAGGCAGCAGGCATGGCGACAGGAACAGGATGCTTAGAGCTCACATCTTGAACCACAGTAGAAGGGCAAGAGGTTTTCACCCTGAAAGTTGGCCTCCATTAGCATAATTCCTCCAGCAAAGCTTCATCTTTTAAATCCCCCAAACACTACCATCAACTAGGATGTTGTAACATGTGTAACATATGGGAACTGTCTCAGTCACTGTTCTGTGAAGACACATCATGACTGTGGCAACTCTTCTTATAAAGGAAAACATTTGATTGAGTTTATAGTTTCCGAGATTTAGTCCACTACCTTGGCAAGAAGTGTGGCATTCATGCAGATGTGATACGGCAGAAGGAGCTGAGTTTTACATCTTAATCTGCAGGCAGCTGGAGGAGACTGTGTACCACACAGGGTGTAGCTTGAGCATCTGAGACCTCAAAGCCCACCCCCACAGTGACACTTTCTCCAAAGGCCACACCTCCTAATAGTGCCACTTCTATGCGCCAAGCTTTCAAACACATGAGTCTGTGGGGGTCATTCCTATTCAAACCACCACACCTTTCAAGTTAAGATGTCTCTTAGTGCTTGATACTTGCTCGGATGAGTCTCCTCTCATGAGAAGGAATAAGAAAGAAATAGCGGTAAGCAGGGAACCTCTGGGTTATAATTTGGTTGTAAGTCTTTTTACTTTTGTGTCTTTAGTCAAAATTTTCAGTCTCGTTGAGACTTGGACCCCTTAGTTCCAATGTAGGGAAATGATTTAGTATTGTAAGTAAGCTGTGGCTGTTGAACAAAATAATGTTGGCTAAGTGCTTTATAAATTTGTGAAATGTCATATACTATAGTGTGCTGTTTCCATTTCATTCATGTATTTCATATCTCTTTAATATTTGTGTTGTTTTCTCATCAGGACCGGAAGTTGTTTGAGTATAGGAACCATGCCATTCTCTGTGTTTTTTACTTTGTTAAAGATGAGTGTGAATGCCTTATGTACTCAGTGCATGCTTACTGAAATTAAAATAAGCTTGTTTTTAGGTCTACCTTACCAGTAGTTTCTCCTTTGCTATAGTACCTAGTAGACTTTGTTTTAAGTAGTTCTTTCTTATCCCTTTTATCTAAAGACCATTTGATAGTTCCTCTTAGATTAGAAATAAAACTTAAAAAAAAGAAGTGTTTTATTATGTGCCCAACATACATTACTCTGCATGACTTTTTAAAATTTTAATTTTCTTGGTCTCGATTTAGGGCACAAGCGATAGCAATTGGACAAGCAATGGTTGATGGACGTTGGCTGGATTGTGTCAGTCATCATGACCAGCTTTTCAGGGACGAGTATGCACTGTATAGACCGTTGCAGGTAATTGGTAGTGATACTCTGATAAGAATGTAGTAGCTCGTTTGGAAATTCTGTTTTCATTAGTAGGGATAAAAAGTGGTTGAATCGCCTAAAGACTCTGTTTCTAATACCTCTCAGACTCAGTGCTAGGGAGGTGCTCCTCCACTGAATGACCTTCGTCTAGGATCAGGCACTGTTAGTGTGCTGTGGCTTTGCTCACACTTGGCTTCTGGTACTTATTTTACTTGTCATTTAATTTTAGTGATTTTCATTTTTACTTTCTTTATCTTTAGGACTAAGAGGGAGATTTTAGAACTAAGGGCGGAAATCAAAGTGATTTGAAAATTTGATATTAGCTATTGAGATAGATTTTTGACTCTATACAAATCGTACACTAATGATTTAATGCTAAAATTTATTCATAAGAATGAAAATTATTTATAGATAATTATGTTTGTTTCTTTTGTTTTTTTGAGACAGGGTTTCTCTGTGTATCCCTGGCTTTCTGGAACTCACTATAGACCCAGGCTGGCCTTGAACTCAGAAATCTACTTGCCTCCACCACCTGGCTATAGAAAAATTCTTTAGAAAAGATGTAATTCTTTAAATTTTGGTTTGTGTAAAAGAATACACACACACACACACACACACACACACACACACACACACACACACACATTCATATGGTGAAACTGTGAGCAGCCTGTGAACCAAGATTTATAAACTGAAATTGGAAGCCCCATAGTTAGAAATGACCAGTAGCCTCATAGAGTGGTGTGCTATAATTTGTTAGAATCAGATTGTTTTCTAGGGGGTTAGAGTTGCCAGGGTTAGACTACATTTTATGCTATCTTCACTTGGCACTAAAGGATGAGGTGAGACCTTGCCAACTACATACCAAAGAAATGTTCATTTGTGAAATGCTACATTCGCTTTGCAGCGGTGAAAATTATAATTTTAAGAGTATGGTTATCGGGCTGGAGAGGTGGCTCAGAAGTTAAGAGCACCTGCTGCTTTTCCAGAGGTCCTAAGTTCAATTCCCAGCAACCAAATGATGGCTCACGACCATCTGTAATGAGAGCTGGTATCCTCTCCTGGCGTGTACATGCTAGCAGAACATTGTATGCATAAAAAACAAACAAATAAACAGTGTGATTATCAATATGGTACTACTGCTTTGCACCTCCTTTTGGTTATTTAGTTATTTTTATGTGAATTTATCGGGTTGTTACAGTTATAGAAGTATAGGCCACAACTTCTTTATCATATGCTAATGTTGTCACTCAGGCTCAGTTGCTCGGTTTGCTTTGGTCCTTTCAGAGTACCGAGTTTTCTGAAACACCTTCTCCAGACAGCGACTCGGTGAACTCTGTGGAAGGACACTCTGAACCATCCTGGTTTAAAGACATAAAGTTTGATGATAGTGACACAGAACAGATTGCTGAAGAAGGCGACGATAATTTGGCTAGTAAGTTTGACTTTCTAATGTTGTAGTGTTTATGGCTTATTGCTGTGCTGGAAGGGTGAAATGATTGTCTTGTGGATGACTTATGGTTTCCACTTGATGTCAACATGTGATAGTAGTGATCCTTGCTTAGATACAGTATTTTCTGAAGGCAGCTTGTTAGTCAACTGACATTTCTGGATGTTGCCATGGCCTCTAGTTTGCAGCAGCTTAAAAGTAACTCTTGAGCTAATATTGCAGCAGGCAGCTTTCTTATCTCTCTACTGTGGTATCGACTCTCTCTCTGCAGAACCTCCAGTGTATTTTCTCTTTAAAACCTCTTTAAAAAATTCGTTTTAAATTTAACATGCTTAAATTTATTAAGTCTACCCAGAAGAACGTGAAAATACTGTATCCATTTTGGTATTGCACATTGGGCTTGTGTATTAAAATTTTTTCCTTTCCTCCAATGCCCTGATAAAACCCGTTTTTACTCCCCTCTCCCTATATTCCTTCCCCCTTCCCCACACTAAAAGACTCTGCCAGTCCTAGCAAGCGCACCTCAGTCAGCAGTTTCCAGTCCACAGTGGACAGTGACTCAGCCGCCTCTATCAGCCTGAACGTGGAGCTGGACAACGTGAACTTCCATATCAAGAAGCCCTCCAAGTACCCACATGTGCCCCCTCACCCTGCCGACCAAAAAGGTAGGAGGCAGCACCACCTGCACTCCACACAGGCCGGGAACTGGGCCCTGGGATCTCATACAGCCTGGCCTCTGCCTTCCTCTGTCCCAAAAGGCTGCAGGGATCTGGAGTGGGTTTTGTTCCACTGTTTCTGGTTCTCCTCACCCCGTACTCCTCTCCACACCTTTTTTTTTGGTTGATTCTTTTTATTTCTTATTTTCTCCCTTTGCACTACCATGCCCAGTTTAAAGCATATAGTCTTGAAAAGGAACTGTATCTGGCTGTTCTTCCCATAATGTGCAACTTCCAAGGTGGAAATTCTTTGCATTTATAACATGGACGTTCTGCTCTGTTTTTTTGTCTTTTCTTCATTTAACATCACAAATCCTCTTTGCCTGTGCTATTCTGCTTGAGTGTAGATGGGGGAAATTATTCATTTATGTTCATTACATTTATTTTAAAATGTCTTCTCTAGTGAGAAATGAGTTCTTTTGTAATAAATTCTTTAGCTGTCTTATTTGATTTTTTTTTTTAGTTTGTGAACTCAAAAATACTAATGACCACATTAAAAAACATCCAAAACACAAAAACATGATGTAAAAGGAAAGATACAGCAAACCTTTTCTAATACGTAACATAGCAGCATGAATTGATTGCTCTTTTTTAAAAATGCAGGATGAGATATATATTATTAGATACAATTAGAAGCTAATTTCAGGTATAAACCTAATGAACCTAATGTACCATTTTTTTTCAAAGAAAATAAAATAAGTAATTATGGCAGTTCATTATAATAATCATCATCATCAAAACATCTTTATTATAAATATGGTGCTTAATTCCATGGTTTTACCCAATATTTGAATTTTAAACATTTAACTCTCTGAAACTGAATTGCTTCTGAAATGCTTGCCTAATTCTTTGCTACTCTTTACTTTGAACCTAAAAATAATAAAAATTTATAGAACCTAAAAGTTTTTTTCATAATTTGAAACATTTACATCCCCCAACAAATTTCTCATAATTGTCAACTATTATCAAGATGTGATAAAAATGTTAAGATAATCATGATAATAAAAGGTGCTTCTTATTTAAAAAATAAGGCACTGAGAGAGAGAAAGGAGATTTGCCCATAGGTGAGCTTTTGGGTGAGTGTGAAGGGCAGTGTGGAGATCTGACCTTGGGAGACTGTACTGTCCGCCACAGTTCCAGGAGCTTAGGCTTCTGACAGGGATGGGGTCAGTAGAAGACTCTGTCACCACAGGACATCTGCCCTCTGAACATGCATGCTAGCTGTTCCATTTTGCTGAAAGCCGAGTGTAAAGTACACTTGCCATTTGCTGGTGGTTTTACCCCTTGTAATGTTAAGGATGTCCTGAAAAGTTTTTAAAAAGTAGCGTTTCATCATAGAATTCCTAAGGCAGAGGGTGGGCTGCTAAGCCGGCACACACACTTTAGGAAGGAAGCCTAGCTCAGTGTTGGTGAGGAGTGGAGCTGGAGACTTCAGTGTAGCTCCCTGGAGAGTAAAGAGGACACCTGCCATGGAAAGCTCATGATTCCTCTTGGAAACTGTCTGGCTTTAAATCTTTTAAAAAATTTTAAAAGTTGTGAGCAGTAGCCGTCATGTGATGAGAAGTCTGAAAGAAAGTTACATACTTGTTAAAAAAATAGCTAGAGGCTAGAGAGGTGATGGGCCAGTGGTTAAGAGCACTGGCTGCTCTTCTAGAGGACCTGGGTTCAATTCCCAGAACCCACGTGGCAGCTCACAACTGGTCCGTGACTCCAGTTCCGAGGAATCTGACACCCTCACACAGACAGAAGTGAAGGCAAAATACCCAATGCATATAAAATTTAAAAAAATAAGAAAAGTAACAAAGATCTTTACAATAACTAGTATAACACGAGAATCATGTTAAGAGTGTTCTCTTGAGTTAAGGATACAACTCAGTGGTATAGTGATTACCTAACAGGCTATGGAGTCTGAAATAGCTTTATAATAATCTATTGCTTATTTAAAATGATAAAACGATCATTGTCTATTAGATGCTAGTAGGCAGAGGATGTTCTAAGTTACCCTATAGGGCTTTGCTTCCCATAGTCATTGCCCAACACTTATTAGTGTAGATTAATAGTATAAGATAATAGGTTTCATTATGACTTTTTTCATATATTCATAAATTTTTTCACATTTGTATTAGGGAGTTATATGGTATGAAGTGATGCAGTGACATTTGTATATAAGGAACAATGAGTCAGTAAAACCAGTTAACATCTGGCATCCCAGGAACCAACTATTTTTTTTTTTTAATGACAAGAACCTTCAAATTTTACTTTCTTAGGAATTTTGAAATATCTACTACACATTACCATATTGCATTCATCATGGTATAAAGTAGATCTCAGTTCCTTTTCATAACTGAAACATTCTACCCTCAACCAGTACTTCCCTATTGTCTCTACTCCCTGGCCACTGAGCCTCCTATTCTGCCCACTGTGAGCTTTATTTTTGTATGGAAACACGCAAAGCATAGTGTGTTTGGTACGTGTAGGAGTTCAGCAGTGCTACTACTAATATTGACATATAATTATGTAGCTTGCTTGAATGATTGTACACAATATTGAAGTGATACCAGCAGGAAGAAGATCCTCCTAGGTTTTGTTACAGGACTTGCCATGTCTATAGTCAGTTTGTTCAGTACTTCGTGTGTGGGGGTTGTGTGGGGCATATGTTTTTATGAAATCTTGTGTGTGTTTGGAGAAGGCCAAAGGTCAATATTGGCTGTCTTTCTCAGTATTGTTCTTTACTTTATTTTTTGAGACAAGGTGAACCTGGAACTTGCTGATTTTGTTAGAATATCTGGTTGACAAGTCCCAGGATCCTCCTGTTTCTATTTCCTCACTGCAGGGATTACAGGCGTGTGCTGCTACATCCAGACTTCTTTACATGAGTGCTTGGAATCTGGACTCAGATTCTCATGCTTGTGTGACAAGCACTTTGCAGGCTGAGTTATCTCCTCAGTTTCTGTTCAATACATTATAAACATTTCCATTTACATTTTTTGTGTGTATTGTTGTTTTGCCTGCATGTATGTATATGTACCATATGTGGGCCTGGTGCCTGTAGAAGCTAGAAGAGGCCAGTGAGTTTCCTTTAACTAGATTTATGGATGGTTGTGAACCACCATGTAGGTGCTGGGAATTGCACCCAGGTTCTTTGGAAGAGCAGCTAGTGCTCTAACCACTGAGCCATCTCTTCAGCCCCTGTTCAGTAGCTGTTTATAAGTGTGTAGTATCTGTCTAGAATAATGCATTTCATTGTGCTATTTTCATATATGCATATAACATACTTTGTATTTTCTAAAATTTGTTCCAAGAAAGTATTGGCCAAGGGCCAATGGAGAAATGAAGGGTTAATGTCATTGTCCCTAAGTTATCTGAAAGAAAAGGTGGGAATTTTGTATGTAAAAGAGTCAAGTCCAATAGTTAGGGGTAGTGAGATTCTGCCACTTGACTTTGGAGGTGTTTACATTGAATCTGGATGTTCACCTGTCAGGGTTATGAACAGGGTTATGAAGAGAGATTAGGTGGATTTAATGTCCTTCAGATTTTCTTTTAGCTCCAAATCTGTGAGATGAAAATCTGACCTTAGAACTTTAAGGTTATGAGAGTCACTCGCAAGACTATAGAGAAGAGGGCTTACCAACAGAAAGAGGATAGCTTTCAGGTGGATCTGATTGGTTGTTTACAACCTTGATAGTCTTTGTTTGTGATGTGAGAACTTAAGAGTCTGTACCTGTTCTTGCCCTCACAGTTCCCTCTCACTAGCCTTTCTTATACTAATGAGAATTCCTATTGTCTGACGAAGCTGAAATATGAGGAAACATTTTACTCTGTGGTAGTTAAGTCGAACACTGCTAACAAGTAAAGATTATCAAAGTAACTTAGAGTGTTGTGAAGGAATAGAGTTCTGCCTATGTGAGCAGGGATACTGACTTTATCCTTCTTGTGGATTGCCCTTTATTTCACCTATTTGTGTGTGTGTGTGTGTGTGTGTATCTACTGCCTGCCTATCTATCTATCTATCTATCTATCTATCTATCTATCTATCTATCTATCTATCTTATTCATATGAGTGCTCTATCTGCATGTATGTCTGCATGCTAGAAGAGGGCATCAGATCCCATTATAGATGGTAATGACCCACCATGTGGTTGAGGGGATTCGAATTCAGGACTTCAGGAAAAAACAGCTAGTGAGTGCTCTTAACGATTGAGCCGTCTCTCCAGCCCACCCTTTATTTCTTATAGCTGAAGAAATTTAGATTTATAAAACTACTGAAATATCCATACTTAAAAAGTTGCTCTTTTTTTTTGTTGTTTGAAATCTAATTGCAGGGTAGCAAATCTTTATGGGTGTGTTCAGAAGTAGTTACAGGGAAAACCTAGGCTGCATCCTTCCATGTTGACCTCCACATCCTGATTCCCATGTGTGGAAGATCAGTGGTTTCCATCAGATTCTCAAAGAGCTTCTTACAACTACAAGTTTAGAACCACTGTTATATTCCACCCTATCACCCAAACACTCTACTGAATCCTAGTAGTCAGCCTTCTAATTTTTTCCTGAATCAGAGGCCAACCTGAAGAACATCCATTCATTATTATCGGACAGCTAGCCTCAATTAGTTCCTTGTCCATTATTGTTCTCTGCAGAAGAATTGTCTGTATTCTGCCAATCATGTTTTAAGATTGGTCAGGCAGGAAGTATAGGCAGATCAACCAGACAACCAGACAGAAGTAGAGGTGGGGCAATGAGAACAGGAGAATTCTGGAAAGGAGGAAGCCCATTCCTCTGAAGTTTTGCCCAGATCACCGAAGAAGCAAGATGTGACCTGCCTCACTGAGAAAGGTACCGAGCCATGTGGCAAACAAAGATAATAATAATGAGTTGATATAAGTTATAAGAGTTAGCAAGAAGCCTGAGCTAATGGGCCAATCAGTTTATAATCTTATGGAGACCTCTGTGTGATTTTCTTTGGGGCTAAATGGCTGCAGGAACTAGGCAGGACAGAAACTCTGACAAGCCTGGCCCATCATGTTACAATTCTCTCAGTGACAATCTCCAGCTTAATTGAAGATAACATCCTAAAATGAATTTAAATATCCTGATAGTATAATTGTTACTCCTGGTCTTGCAAACCAGAAGTGAAGAATTAAACTTCTCAGGATATCAAAAAGGAAGGCCTAATGCCCCACCACCAACATTCAAAGCTTATATTTTACTTAAACTACCTCTTGTACATTTGAACTATCTCTTCTACATTTTGCCTTTACATAAAATGATCTAGTACAGAATACATACATATATATCGCACATTAACTTACATCCCCAAGCGTATAAGTATGTAATTATCATTAATGATTCATAAACTATAACAATTTAAGCCCAGTTTGGGTGGGCTCTTTTTTTTTTTTAATATTCTATAAGACAGCCTTAAAAGCTTGGAAAACTTGGTGTGCTTTCTGGTTTAATAATTTTTCAATTTTTTTGAAGATTTGTATTATTAAAATCTATTTTGTGTTACAGGCAGGATTCTGAGCTGTTTTTAGAAAGTTAGTGACTAGACTTTGACACAGGCGAAAGCCATGGCTCTGTCAGCCCTTTGAGTAGCTTTCCCGTGCATAGAAAACATGAGATGAGGAGCAAGTTCAACACACCACGGGGAGACACTGGATCAGATCTAGAAAGGGGGACTTTGTGTAGGACATTTGCCTGGTTCTGTCAGAACTCATTACTGTGGAAAGAAAGTAGGAGGTATCTTCTAGATGAAAAGAGAATGAGGAGGTGTAGCGAGAGGAGTCCTGTATAAACTTGATGGGATCTTGTCTTCGAGGATATATCTATGAAAGACTGTGAAAATAGATAAATTTGAATATGGATCAGTTCTGTGATTGTTGCAGTATTGTATGTTTTCATAAGTGTGTACATGATATGGTGGCTGTAGAGAAGAGTGCCCTTGGTTTGTTTGTTTGTTTATTTTGTTTTTGAGATGGGTTTCTCAGTACAGCCTTGGCTGTCCTGGAACTTTCTTTGTAGGTCTGCTGACCTCGAATCAGGGAGACCCACCTTTTTGCCCCCCAGTGTTGGCTGTAAAGGCATGCACCACCACCACCACCCTCCCAAGTGGCCTTGTTTAAAGAGAGGCATCCTGATGTGCTACTTGAAAAGTGCTGTGTGTAACTTGAATTAATTGGGATAACTTACATTTAAAATTTTTTTCTGTTTACACGTATGTGTGCATATCTGTGAGTATGGGTGTAGGGTGCTGTGGAACTGTGTAATACAGAGAATTGTGAGCCGTCACGTGGGTGCTGGGGATGGAACCCAGGTCCTCTGGGAAACAGCAGATATTCTTTACCCCTGAGCCATTCCTCTAGCGGCAGGGTAGCTGTAAGAGCATGTGCAGATGTACAGAGAAAACAGATATGACAAGTCCTCATTAATTACTGAATCTAGGTGAACAGTAGACAGGACTTTTTGTGTATTTTAATTTTTCCATAATGTGAGGAGTAAACCATCACTTCTGGAATTTGATATTTTAAGTTTTAGTATGAGAAGTAGGGCTTTTAAAGAACAATGCATGGGTTGAACTAACAGAATTTGACATTGCTTATTTCTGCCAGGAATAAATTATAGAAACAGATTGTATCTACATACCTGATTGTATTGTATAATGCTCTTCAGTTATAATGTTTTCTCTGCATTATAACTGGACTGGAAGGGTAAATGTATTGGCTTGGAAATGAACTCAGAAAAAAATTTGTGGAGAATATTCACATTAAAATAGTTAATGCTTTGTGGTTTACTTTGCATAGTAGAAAGAACTCCTCTGAGCTGTGTCTTGAGGAAAGTTCACTTATGGAAAAGTGTTTAGATTTTAAATGCTTTGAAGGCATTCAGTCTGTTCATCAGTTATCTTCTGGTAAAGATTTGGTAGTAAGCTAGAAGTTTTAAAGAACCAAAAATTGACTTTAAAAATTAACCATAAAAATTCCTTAAATTATATCTTTATCATCTACAATATGAATTTATTTTATTGCATATATTCTGAAGTTAAAATAATTATACTGTTCTCTTAGGTGGCTTCTATGAAACACTGTATATATAGATAGTTTTTGTTAGATAATGCAGTAGTACGCGAGGAAAGTGGTGTGGTATTTTAAGCCTTATTATACTAATCACTAAAGACCTTTGCTTTTTTTATGTTTGCTTTAAAGGAACAAAAGAGAGGTTATCCTGGAGCCATTTTGAGTGACCGTGGCCCAGGAACACGGATTTAGGTTACCTCAATTTCCATGTTTCAGCGTGGAAGCAGTAGTTCTGTTTTGGCAACTAAGCATCATTTGAAAAAATGTATGTTAAAATGCCTGACATTTGAACCAAGGCAAATTGTTTAATGGTTCTGTCATCAATTTAAGTCTACTGAAAATAGTTTAATATGAAATATATAGAACCTGTGTATAAAAGCATCGTAGTGAAAATGTTTCTGAAGTTTTCCGGACAGTGATGAGTTTTGTAGGAGTAGTGCACACTGTGCGTGGGTGTTCTGCTGCATAATTGTGCTGGCGTATTGAAGTCATATGTCTTTCCTTCCTCTTCTCTCTTCTCCTGGTTTGCAGAGTATTTGGTTTCTGACACTGGAGGACAGCAGCTCTCAATAAGTGATGCCTTCATCAAAGGTAATTTTACAAATGACTGTACTCGAAATGATATCTGTTTCATGATGCTGTGCTTGAAGTTTTAGCACTTTGACAGAAAGTGCTGAAAGTATTTTTAATTAATATCATAGGAACATAATTTTAAATATGTAGAATGACTTTTGATTATGTTGAAAGTCAAGGATACAAACTTGGTCTTGATTTGAGAGAGAATCTTTAGTTTAAAAATGATTGTTTAATTTTTTGAGTAGTTTGTATTTTATTCTTTATAGGCAGTGTATAAAAGTGAATATTGATATACATATTGTCAAGGATTGCCTCTTTGCCAAAGAACTCACAAGTGAGCTTATCACTTGAATTTGGTGTTTGCCCTGTAGAGTTGGGAAAAGAAGTAGACAAAGAGAATAAAGCACCAAATCTACTGATGAGTTTCATCGAGACTAAAGAAGAGTAGATGAGTATAGATCTCTTCTACCTTTAACTTAAACTTTTCTCCCGTGGAGAAAGACAAAGGGAGAAAAGACTCCTCCTCCAGTGGTCATCTTAGTTCCTGGGGTTTTAGAAAAAGAGAGAAGGTCGGGCGAGTTGGAATAAGGAGGCCAGTGACAGCAGATCTGGCTTGATACTCTACCTAAATTTACCTCCTAACATGTAGCTCAGCTGGAGGTTTATAGACTGGCTGTTCATTATCGGGAAGTACCAGTCTTGTGCCTTATGTACCATGCTTTATAGAGGCTGGTTTGCTCTAAAAGAGAAAGCACTAGAATTTTGTCTTTTCATTTGTTGTCATAGAATTCAATGATTATTTAATGAGCATGTTTTTGTAAAACATTATTTTTTAACTTTTTGTAATTTATTTTGCCCTTTTAAAAATTACTATTTTTATTTTTTAAAGTCATGTATAAGAAGTGTGTGTCTACATGTGTTTATGTGCATGTGAATGCAGGCACCTGCAGAAACCCGAGGTGTTGGATCCCCTGGAGAGTGAGTTACAGATGGTTGTGAGCTGCCTAGTGTGGGTGTTGAAAACTCAACTCCAGTCTTCTGGAAGAGTAGCAGATGCTCTTATTTTCCCAGCTCCAAAAGCAGTGTAGACCAGGCTGGCCTCAAGTTCATAGAGATCTGCCCTTTTTTGCCTCCTGAATTCTAGGATTAAAGATGTGCACGACCACACCCAATCATTTCACTGTTTTTAAAAATTTAAAAACTTCAAAATCTTACATAAAACTATTAAGTTTTATTTAGTATAACTTTTTTAAGGTTTATTTTTTAAATCTACTTTGTTATAGTTTTGTTTTTAAAGCCTATATTGTAAACATACAGTGGAGATTGTGTTGAGAGACTGTACTGTCATCTGGGGCTGGGTGTCCATGACAATTTTTCCCTTGAGAATTCAGTGCACACATGACTCTGTTATTGTCACCATTCAGGTTTCAATTGAAAGTGGTTTCCAGTTTATGATTTTATGTGCAAAATCTTTATTCTTTTAACTCTTTAAAACAAACAATGCAAAAATACTATTCTGTTTGTCTTTCGGAATTGATGTTGATACTCTTGACTGAGAGTCTTTGTTCCTTAGGTCAAGTTACTTTTCATAGCTGTGCTCAGATTTCCCCCCACCATGCAGGGTCTTGCACATGACACAGAAGCACTATACCTCAAGCTCTGCTTCTGCAATTTAGTGTATTGATGTATGTGTTGTTGATTACATATTATATATTTTAATTGTGTGTTGTACAGGTCTTAGCCTTTTTATAGCAATAATTTATATCGGTCAACTTAAGATACTTTTATTTTCTAAGTATATGAGTATATGGTGTAAAACGTGACAATGAAATACTAACTTCTTATTTTGTGTTTAGAATCTTTGTTTAATCGTCGAGTAGAGGAAAAATCCAAAGAACTGCCTTTTACCCCTTTGGGCTGGCATCATAACAACCTGGAGCTCTTGCGGGAGGAGAATGAGGAGAAGCAAGCCATGGAAAGACTGCTGTAAGACGCTACATCGTTATTTTTCAGTGGCTTGGACATATACATAATTCCTCTTCCTTATAAAGTGGAAAATACTAATAGAAAGTGTATTCTGACTTCTGGTGACATAGCTCATAAAACAGAATCCCAAGCTGATTGTCTCCATTTTAGTTCATGTGTTAGAATCTTAATTGAGCAGTCTGAAGGTACTTTGTTACTTTGAAGATATTCACAGATTTCTATTATGTGCAGAATCATGGTAAAGATATATTGAAGGAATAAAATTGGCATGGAAGATCTTATCTGTTAACCATAATTGGAATGTTTCTTTGTAGAGTGCTTCTTGTGTCTTTAGTCCTAACCGTGCAGACGTGTTTCTGTGACATTTTGTAGCTCAGCTAATCATAACCACATGATGGCGCTGCTCCAGCAGTTGCTTCACAACGAGTCATTGTCATCGTCGTGGAGGGACATCATTGTGTCCCTAGTCTGCCAGGTTGTTCAGACAGTCCGACCTGATGTTAAGCACCAGGATGATGACATGGATATCCGCCAGTTTGTCCACATCAAGAAGGTGAGCTCTGCTAATGTTTGGGTTAATAGTCATTATCTCTTAATGGTGATCTGAAAGGAGCCATTACTGTGAGGCTCTCTGCTCTGTTAACAGTTCAAGTAGAGCTCTTGGAAGCTGTCCATAGGAAGTGAGAGGTGCGTGGAAAGAGTGAGATGGGTGTGTGGTGAGGACCAAAATAAATATAGTTTCTTCCTTTCTTAATGCTTCTCCTTGGAAAGTCATTTATGAGAAAGTCTGTTCTCATAGACTATTGACACTGTCATGAGGAAAAGCAATGGGTAGATGCTTTAGTTAGATAATACTAAGTTCTGAATATATATTTTACTTGTAATATTTAATGTCAAAAGTATTGCCACAGACACCAGCTTATTTAGTCAATGAGTATTTTAGAGTAGCACATATGATATTAGAGATTAGAGGGAAGGAGAACACAGTCATGGTGAGATAACATGAGATGACGAGAACTATATTCTGGACCTTTCTGCCCCTACCTAGTCATGTTAATTATGATAGCAGTTCAAAGGTGTAAAGACATAATAAATAATAGTCGTGATAAAGTCTGAAGATATATCACTGGTTCTTATTGTTTTCTTGTTTTATTAGATTCCAGGTGGAAAGAAATTTGATTCTGTGGTTGTCAATGGCTTTGTTTGTACCAAGAACATTGCACATAAAAAGGTAATGAATTTCAGTTCAGCAGTGAAATTCAGCAGATCATAGCTATGTACTAAGCTTATAAGTTGGAATTTCTCAATTATGGAACAAAGGAGATGTTGAAGGGTACCTAGCCATGTATTTCGTAGAGGCAAAAGTTTGGAGATTCCAGGAATATCTCAGAGAGCTGATGATGAGTTGGGATTTGAATATGGAAATTTACAAGACAGAAGAAGAAAGAAGGGAAGAGTCAGGTTTCCAGATCAACAGTGGGTACCATACTGGTATCATGACTCCCTAGACCCTGCTTCCAGGCAGAGTTTTTCTGAAAGGCTGTATTCCTTTAAAATGGTGTAGTTTTCTACAACTGGTCTTCCTGCAGAATTGTCATTAGTTTTTTATGCTTCTCACCCATTATAGCTCTACCTTCAGTTCCAAGGTGTCTTCCCAGCACTAGCACAAATATAGGAGGTTAGGTAAGATATTGAGTGTTCAGGGATCTCGAGACACAAAAGTATAAAATGTTACAGTGTCAGACAATACTAAAAGAAACAGGCAGGGTCCCTGTGTTCCACCAAGGGTTTCAAACTTCTGAGGGCTTTTGATTCTCAAAGTACAGTGTATATCAGTATTTTCTGGGCACCTTGCTAAATATATGGACCTCTAAACTTAAACTGTCTCACTTAATAGGTTTAAGAGAGTAGGAAAAGGTAGATAAGTGAAGGGAAGGATAGTATTGCATTGAAAGTAGACACTATGAATATCTCATTGTCATCTGTTGGTTGTCATATTAAAGTAAATTTTTACTGATTTACTTTCTGTGTGTGTTTTGCTTGCATATATGTTTGTGCACCATGTGTGTGCCTGGTGCCCATGGAGATCAGAAGAGGGCATTGCATCTGCTGGAACTGGAGTAACAGATGGTTGTGAGCTACCATGGGTGCTGGGAATTGTGTACCAACTGCTCTTAACTACTTCAGTGCCCTGGTCTTTACATTTTGAGAAACTATAGCAGCATTCTCAGACCTTGCTCTACGTCCTGACCATCAAGGAAACTTGATAAAACTTGGGATTACCTTAGCATTATCACAGAAGATATTGACTTCATTACTGGAAAAGTTGAGACAGCTGTTCAAATCTAGGAAAGCAGATGGTTGACCTGTAGTCCAGTTTTCCTCTTTTCTAAGTGTAGACTAGTACAGTTGTCTCTGAGTTGTTGCAGGTTATGGATTCCAGGGTCTCAAGGGAATGCTGAAGTCTGGTGCTCAGGCTCCTTATATAAGCTATTGAATACTTTCCTATAGACTTGAAATCATCTTTAGATGACTTACAATGGCTACTACAATGTAGGTGTTGTATAAATAGTTGTTATACTAATGTGTGTAGGCTCTAATAAGTTATAATATTAGAAAAAGATAATTTGTGCATGCTTGGGACACATAGTCAGCCCTCTCCAGTCTTGCAAGATATTTTCTATCCACAGTAAGTCAAATCTAGGATGTGGAAATTACTGGTATGGAAGGCTTACTATAAGACATTTAGCCTTTAGAAAATTGTTATTGGTCACTTATAAATAATATGCTGGTATTCAGTATTATTTCTTAGACATTGTCCCAAAATCACTGGGTGTTTGCTTATATAATCTTATAAAACAGTATATTACTCTTTTAAGACAGAATGTCAAACCAAAATAAGTGACGTTTATTGAAGTAAGAGTAAGCATGTTAACTGGGTGGTGGCGGCATATGCCTTTAACTCCCATACTCAGGAGACAGAAACAGACAGATTTCTGTGAGTTTGAGGCCAGCCTAGTCCACAGAGCGAGTTTCAGGACAGTTAAGACTACACAGAGAAACCCTGTCTTGGAAAACCAAAAGGGGGAAAAAGACTAAGCATGTTATGTCTTTTCAGGAGTTGAAGAAAATTCTGTAGGAGAGGTAGAAATATATCCATGAATTATTATAATAATTTGCCTCACTGATCATATTTAGACATAGTGTTTAATTTTAGAGCCTGAATATATTTTCCATGTTGTCTGAAGTTTCTGTCCCACCCGGTTCTTCGGTTGTTCAGTCCCAAAGAAAACACACAGAGGTCTACATTAATTATAAACTGATTGACCTATTAGCTCAGGCTTCTTATTAACTCTTATAGCTTATATTAGCCCTAATTCTTGTCTATGAGGCAGTCACATCTTGCTTGCTCTGTGTGTGGGTGACCACTGCAGACTGCCTCTTCCCAGAATTCTCCTGTTCTCATTACCCTGCCTCTACTTCCTGCCTGATTGCTTCTCCTCTACTTCCTGCCTGGCTACTGGCCAATCAGCATTTTATTAAATAAGTACAAGAAACAAATCTTCACAGGGTAAAACCATTGTCCCACAGCATTCCCCAGCTAGTTACTGTTCTTAGAACTGTTTGCCAGTTTGGGCTGTGTGAGCGTGGTCTAACTGAAAGTTTGACTCAGGCTATTTTGCATGTGACTTTAGTTGCATGGTTGAGTGTTAGCGTGAATTTTTGCTTTTGAGAATGATTTAATGTGTTTTAACCTTTTTTAACCTCACATTACATTACCCAGTTGAGCTTCCCAGTTTAAGATTGTTGGGGAATTTATTGTGTTAGAATAATGTTCAAGTGCCATTTCATTTTTCCCTTCCTTATTTTTCCCTTCCTTTTCTACTTTTGAAGTTTAGAAAGACTGAAATACACTTCCAACGTTGCTGATCTAGAGTGTGTGAAATAGTCTGCATATAATACTTATCACCACCTAGGGCATGCTGTTTCTTCTTACAGCATGAGAATTAGAAAAGAAAAACATAGTTTATGTTTTAGTATATAGTAAATGAGAATATAAGAGTAAAGAGGAATAGATAAGAAAAAGCTGCTTTGAAGAACTTGCTTTGAAAAAATTAAAGCAAATAACCCAAAAGTAATGAATTGGAGTTTATAATGCTAATTAGTAGGACTATAAGAATTTAAAATTATGATTAAAAGCCTATAAAGTGTAAACCTTTAACAAACTTTTTTTTTTAGATGAATTCTTGTATTAAAAATCCCAAAATCCTTCTGTTGAAGTGTTCCATTGAGTATCTCTATAGAGAAGAAACTAAGTTTACTTGCATTGATCCTATTGTGCTTCAGGTAAGAATTTCTGGAAGAAATCATTTGATAGGATGAATGCTTACATTTTGTGCTGCTTGCCACCTCTTAATTTCAAAAAAAATGTTACATATCAAAAGTTAATTGTACACAGCAGATTTCTGTTAGTAAGTAGCTCATCCACATCTCCTTCACTCGTTTCTGAAGTTTCAGAGTATTAAAGGAGCATGTGACTGGGGGTGTATGGAAGAAAAAGTGAAAATTGAAGTTTGGATTTATTCCTTTTCTCTGCTTTGGCTCTTGCTTTACTGGCACAGTTTCTCTAACTTCTCAAGTCTCTAATGGAACCTCCCATTTGTAATAGACTCCTACTACTACCTATTTGTAGAATTTAAATAGCTTGTATGTAGTTGCAAATAGAACAGTATCTCAAGGTAGAGGTTGTGTTGGTTTCTTTCTGTTTCCTAAGTTACCTCATCTGGCTATTGTGAAAGGTATTGTTTGCCTGATTTCTCTCTTAGTCAAATTGTCTTCTCTGTGTTAGGGGGGCTTCTGTTCTGTGAGTTAATCTTTTATCAAACTGCTTTGATGAAAGTATTTATCAGCTGTAGAAGTTCCCTGGTGGAAATATTAGGGTCACTTTTGTGTGCTGTCATTATCTGTAAGTAAGTGTACTTTGACTTCTTTCTAATGTGACTTCTTTCCAATTTGTATCCCCTTACTGCTCTAGCCTAGACTTCAGGTACTACTTTGAGTAGATACGGAGAGAATAGACAACCCTGTCTTGTCCTTTTTTAGTGGAATTGCTTTGCATTTCTCTCCATTTACTTTGTGTTGGCTGTAGGCTTACTATAGATTGCCTTTATTATGTTCAGGTATGTTCTTTGTCCCCAATCTCTCCAGGACTTTTATCATGAAGATGTGTTGGATTTTGTCAAAGTACTTTTCTGCACTAATGAGATAACCATCTATTTTTTTTTCAGTTTGTTTATATGGTGGATTACATTTACTGACTTTTGAATGTTGAATCATTCCTGTATCTCTGGGATGAACCTTGATGGATGATCTTTTTGATGTGTTATTTGATTCGGTTTGCAAGTATTTTATTGGCGGGTTTTTGCACCTATATTCATAAGGGAAATTGGTCTGTAATTCTTTTTCTTTGTTGAGTCTTTATGTGGTTTGGGTATTGGGGTAACTGCGGCTTCTTAAACTGAATTGACAGTGTTTCTCGTGTCGGTTGTGTGGACTAAGTTGAGGACGGTTGGCATTAGTTCTTTGAAAGTCGGGTTGAGCTCTTAAAAAAGTCATCTGCTCCTGGACAGCTTTTGGTTGGGAGGCTTTTATTGACTATTTTTATTTCACTGGGGGTTATAGATCTATTTAAATTGCTTATCTGATTTTGATTTAACTTTGATAAGTGGTACCTATCAAGAAAATTAGCCGTTTCTATCACATTTTCCAGTTTGGTAGAATATATATGTCCTTAGATTCCCTGGATTTCATTAGTGTGTGTTATTATGTCCCCCCTTTCATTTCTGATTTTGTTAATTTGGATATTTAGTTAGTTTGAATAAGGGTCTATCTATCTTACTGATTTTTCTCAAAGAACAAACTCTTTGTTCCATTGATTCTTTCTACTATTCTCTTTGTTTCTCTTTTATGGATTTCAGCTCTCAGTTTGATTATTTCTTGCCATCTATTCCTCTTGGGTGTGATTAGTTCTTTTTGTTCTAGAGCTTTTAGGTGTGCTGTTAAGTTCCTGCTATGAGATTTCTCCAAATTTTTTATGTAGGCTCTTAATGCTGTGATCTTTACTCAGTACCACTTTCATTGTGTCCCATAAATTTGGGTATATGTGTATTTAATTTCACTGGATTCTAGAAAGTCTTTAAATTTTTAAATTATTATTATTCGATGGGGAATTGTTCAGTTTCCATGAGTTTGTAAGCTTTTTGTTTTTGATATTCAGGCTTAATCTGTGGTAGTCTGCAAAGAGTTATTTCAGTTTTATTGTATCTGTTGAGACTTGCTTTGTATCTTAAGTATGTGGTCAGTTGTGGAGAAAGTTTCATGAGGTGCAGAAAAAAAGGTGTATTCATTTGTGTTTGGGTGAAATGTTCTGTAAATATCTGTTAGTTCTGTTTGGTGTATAATGCCTGTTAGCTCCAGTATTTCTCTGTTTAGTTTTTGTCTAGATGGCCATCCATTGGTGAGAGTGGGGTATTGAAGTTACTACCAGTGTATGTATCAGTATATGTAATTCTTTTTGTTTTGTTTTGACACAGCTCTCCTCTCCCATTAATACTATTAATATTAGTTTGTGGTCATTCAAAATATGTGGTTTTTAGGAATGTAAATGTCATATACATGGAAACATTTATACTTAGTTCCAGAAATATTTAGGTAATAAAAAATTACTTTTACATTCATAGATAGTCAGATTTTTTTCAAGCATGGTAGAAGTAGTCACTTTGTATTGCATTCTGTAGATAGTAACTAGCAAAACACAGTTGTAGTTGAAGTTAAGGGTTCGTATTATATTACCTTGGACTGTATACAGTATTCATTTGCTTTGAAATAAAGCTTTTATTGTGCCAAAATTTCTTTCTTTTTTTTCCTTTGTTTTGTTTTTCTTTTCTTTTTTTAACAGTGAAAATCAGAAAGGGGAGGTTTATTTAATGTAGTCACATTGGGAAAGGGGACAAAGTAATTCAGTAGTTTGTTTTGTTTTTTCAGAAAGGATGTCTCTGAGAAACAGCCCTTGCTGCCTCAGACTCTCAGAGATCCACATGCCTCTGTTTCCCAGAGACTGGGAGTAAAGGTGTGTGCTACCATGCCCGGCTATTGTGGTGGTATTATATTAAGCATTATATTAAGAACTTGAGTTGTATTTGTTTGAAGCAGGGTGTGATGTTAGGAAACAGGCGGAGTAGCATCTGCCTGAGGGCTATTAATTCTGACTCCTAGGAGAGAGACGATTGTACATTACAGGTGGAAAAGAAAAGTCATAATCATATAAACTTAGAAGTTGCTTTTATTGTAACAGGTGTAGGAATAGGCTTTTTGTTTCTTGAAAGTTTATGCTACTAGGTTCTTAGTGTTTATTATCCATACACATACACACATGCTCACATGTTGCTAGCGTTGATCCATAGGACCCTAAGTGTGTTCAGCCTGTACTCTCCCTCAGGACTACATCTTCAGCATATTATAGATTATCAGGGACTGAAAATCTTTCAAAATAAAATTGATTGGGGGATGGAACATCTCCTAAAACTTTTAAGTATAATGACTAGTTTAGAATTATGACTAAAATTCTTTGTTGTATTTGAATTTTTTACAGACTTACTTGTGAAGAAAAATTATAGATTGAAAATTGATATTAAGTCAGATTATCATGATATTTTAATATTTTTGAATATTGAATTGTACCAGGTTTTGTATTTCTGTTTTATCTCACTTAGGAAAGGGAATTCTTGAAGAATTATGTTCAACGGATAGTTGATGTTCGACCCACATTGGTTCTAGTTGAGAAAACAGTATCTCGGATTGCTCAGGACATGTTACTGGAACATGGCATTACTCTGGTCATTAATGTAAAGTCAGTGAGTGTTTTCTGTATTTATTCACTTAAAAAACCATGGCTTTTAAATTAATATGCATGTATGGTAGGTATGCAGCATCTCTCCTTTTGATGTACTGCTTGTGCTGCAAGTGGGACACAGGTGTGGTAGCTGCTTTATTATTCAGGTGTGACTGACTGTGTAGCTGTTCTTTGGGTCTTTATGGAACCAAAGGTAAAATGAACGTTAGCCCATCAACAAGCACTTACCAGTGCTTCACTAGTCCCTCTGCAAAATGGAGGACAGGAAACCGATTTTTCTATTTGTTTGTTTGCTTATAGTATTTTGTACTAAGACAATGGCTAGCCAAATGCTCTTTCAAAAGGTAATAACAAAATAAAGTAAGATTAAAAAAGAAGATAAGGTCTCAGGTTGTACCTCTAGCAGGTCTGGAAGTCACTAATTAAGTCAGTATGACCTCATACTTGCACTGGTCCTACCTCCTCTGTCTCCAAGTGTTGGGGTTATTCAAGTGCACCACCATACCATGCTCCTCTTTTGATGATATTGCAACAAGCATGGTTTGTTTTTGAGGCCATCCATTGATTATTTAGCAAGCAAATTTGATCTAATACAGAATAAAAAAGTCATATAATTATTAAAATTAAGGAAACTAATTGTGAACATTATTTTATTTTAATACTTCATGTACTTTTTCAGGTTAAATTTATTAAGAATTTTACTCATAGCTAATTCTGTAATACACTGTTTTTCTGTGTTGTAGCAAGTTTTAGAACGAATCAGTCGAATGACCCAAGGTGATTTAGTGGTGTCCATGGACCAGCTGCTCACTAAACCACACCTGGGCACTTGCCACAAATTTTATATGCAGATATTTCAGTTGCCTAATGGTGAGTCATCTTAAGCATACATTCATTTAGCTTGGGGAATCTCAAGAAATGAATCAACTCCTAGTTAAATATAGTATTGTTTACTCAGGAAGTATTAATATCTGTGAGCATTGATAGAGAGAGAGTGATTCGGTGTCGTCTTATTCCTGTAAGGATTTTCTTTTTTGTTGGTAATAAATTCTGTCTGGTCCTCTGGATTTTCACCTAAGTCTCTTAATTTTGTTTATTTGTAGAACAAACCAAAACACTGATGTTTTTTGAAGGCTGTCCACAGCACCTAGGATGTACAATCAAGCTCAGAGGAGGCTCCGATTATGAGCTGGCTCGAGTTAAGGAGATCCTAATATTTATGATCTGTGTAGCTTATCATTCTCAACTAGAAATCTCCTTTCTCATGGATGAGTTTGCTATGCCTCCAACTTTAATGCAAAGCCCTTCATTCCCTTCTCTGTCTGAGGGCCGAGGGGAAGAGGGAGTGCCCCAGGAGCAGTACAGTGGCAGCTCCCTTCCCCAGGACCCAGAGTGCCCTCCTGACTCCCTGTCTTCTGATGATAGCACTTTGTTGGAATCAAGGATTACGCTTGAGAAAGGTGAGCAGGACAGTAAAAGTGTTCCCCAGGTGGTTGCCTCTGTGAAACATCAAGATTATACTGCACCCGCTTGCCCAGCAGGTATTCCCTGTGCTCTCTTTGCGTTGGTACCTGAATCCTTGTTGCCTCTCCAAGTGGATCAACAGGATGCTATAGGAAATGAAGAACTAGAGACATCGCAGCAAACAGATGAACAACAGGATCCCAAAAGCCAGATACGAGCCTTTAGAGACCCCCTACAGGATGACACTGGGATGTACATTACTGAGGAAGTCACCTCCTCTGAAGATAAACGAAAGACTTACTCTTTGACATTTAAACAAGAATTAGAAGATGTGATCCTCTGTATCTCTCCAGTTATTACATTCCGGGAACCTTTCCTTTTAACTGAAAAGGGGATGAGGTGCTCAACTCGAGATTATTTTCCAGAGCAGATTTACTGGTCTCCTCTCCTCAACAAAGAGGTGAAGGAAATGGCGCTCAGGAGGAAGAAACAGCTGCTCAGGGATCTCTCTGGACTTCAGGGCATGAATGGCAGTGTTCAGGCCAAGTCTATTCAAGTCTTACCCTCACATGAGCTAGTGAGCACCAGGATAGCCGAGCATCTGGGTGATAGCCAGAGCTTGGGCAGAATGCTGGCTGATTATCGAGCTAGAGGAGGAAGAATTCAGTCAAAACATTTGGACCCTTTTGTCCATTCAAAAGATGCATCATGTACTTCAGGTTGCAAATCGGGAAACAAAAATGAGAGTGATGAAGAGAGGGGGTTGGTCCCAAGTGACGCCTTATGGGCGACGAAGGTAAGATGCAAGATTTAAAAATCACTATGACAGATTGCATAGGTTTATTAAATATTTACTCTTCTGCTTATTTTTCTTCTTGAGTTGGATGACATTTATGTATAAAGTATAAAACTGGATTCATAAGGGAATGAAACAAGGATTTTGGATTTTAATATGCGCTTAAAGTAGGAAGGACCTAAGTTAAGGGAAAGTGGGCAATTGCTTGAAGTTTATATCTGTATTGCTTATATGTGGTATGATGTAGCTCTTGACTTTTTTCAGTGTTTTAAGATAGGTCTTTAGTTTGAATTTTTGTTGTTGTTGCTATGGTCAAATACCTGAAAAAAAAAGGCAACATATGGAAGAGTTTATTTAGTTTGTAATTCTAGGTTCCAGTTCCTGTTAGGGGCAGCAGGAAGAGGTAATTTATGATACCACAACCACAGTCAAGATAAAGAGAAATAAATGCATATATGCTGCTTGCTTGTTTGTGTTCAGTTCTATTCTCAATTCCTAATAGTTCCAGATCTTTTGCTAGGGAATGGTGCCTCCCACAGTGGACTGGCTCTCCCCACATTTTAACTTAAGACAGTCACTCAAATGTGCCCATATTCCAACCCAGTATATATAATCCTTCCTTGAGACTCTTCTTCCTAGTTGATTTTAAATTGTATCAAGATGCACTTAAGCTAACCTCACAGGTCTCATTATGTGGTCCTGGTTGACTTTAAGCTCACAATCTTCTTGCCTATACCACTTTATTAGGATTGTAGCTCTGTACCACCAGACTAACTATATTGTTTGATTATAGTCATTGTGAGAGATGGAAATTTGTTACTGAAAATGGACCTGTTTTAAGAAAGTGTATTTAATAGTAAAAAGTTTATATTGTCATTTAACTTTGACAGTGATCTTTTTTGTTCAATTAGAAATTAAAGATATTTAAAGAAGATTTATTTGTGGATGGATATATTACTAGTAGTGAAACTAATAAAAAGACATCTAGTTTTACTGATAGTCAAGGAAGTGCTAAATGTTTTTTGAGACCCACGAAAAGAACCATGGTTAGTGTGAGTCAAGAAATTTTGAATGCTTTGTCTAAGTGTACAAATGTCTAAAAGTGTTAAGGAGGTTTCTCTTACTGTACGTGCATGTCTATACATCCCTGTCGAAATGTACAGAAAGTGATAAGGAGGTTTCTCTCACTTTAAATGTACGTTTCTCACCTTTGACTCAGGATTCCGACTTCTCTATTGTAGAACAAATTAAATACATCTGTGTAAGAATATGTGCACAAGGGTGTTTGTTTGTTGAAGAACTACATCCATTTTTTTTTGTAGCAAAACATTATATTTTGCAGATATGGAAAATATCTGACATTAAACAGTTTAAGAGGGTTTATTTTAGCTCATGATTTCATAGGTTTCAGTCCATCCTCCTTGGCTTCATTATTCGTGGTAGCTAGATGGCACAGAAGACAGGAAGCAGAGAGAAATAGGAGGGCCTGGGATGAGATACAGTCTTCAAAGAGACATCTCCAGTGACCTATTTCCTTCATGTAGGCCTCACCTTTTAGTTTCTAGAATGTCCAACATAGCTCCCCAGCTGAGGGACACACCTTAAATACAGGACTCTTGGACAGGAGCTCAATCATACATATTCAACCTGTACCAGATTTTTTTTTTTTTTTCCTGAGATAGGGTTTCCCTGTGCAGGAGCCCCAGCTGTCCTGGAACTAGCTCTGTAGATCGAGTTCTGGCCTCAAACTCACAGAGATCTGCCTCCCTCTGACTCCTGATTGCTGAGATTAAAGGCATTTGCCGCTGCCACCCGGCTAAAGGATGGGTTTTGAATGTTTTTTTTTAAAATGCAACTTTAAAGTTTTATTACTTATTAGAATAAAATACTAATGGTTATATTCCAAAAGCAAGTTATAGTAATATATTTTTTAGCCTATCTCATTTTAATAAAAACAAAATCACCTGTGTATATTTGTGTTTATGTACATGTGTGATTGTGCATGTATGTAAATGCCAATAACATGAATAAACAAAAAGTGATTTTCCTTTTGGTGTTTGTTTGAATTAGGGTTTCTCAGTGCCTAGGCTGGCCTCAAACTCAAGATCCAGGTGATGAAGATGTTAAATTCTCAATCCTCTTGACTCTGCTCCTAAGTGTTGGGATTTCCATGTGCTACCATGCTGGTCTGAGTAGCTTTATAAACTTTAGTTTGAGAGGTGGGTGGCATCCAAAAAGGAGGAACTTTACATTATGTACCTCTGCTACTTGAATTTTACAGGGAGCAGGTGTGTTTAAGAACAGGCACAAGCACAGGTAAAAAAATACCTTAGAATTAGGTTTCTAGACACCACCGATTGATACCATAGCCGTCCACTGTCATAATGTGCCATAGGAATGTGTTTTAGTTAATTTGCTCTTCCAAACTATAATACAATTTTGAAAAAAAAATTGGAGTGTTTATGTTAAGAAACAAGCTTCTTAGTTGTCTCGCACTTTCAAGCACAGTGCTGGCCCTACCGCTGGTACATTTCCAGCCCAGTTATCTTATGCTTTTACGTTTACTTTGTAGTTCTTAGGTTTAGCTTTACTGACAGAATGGACTGTGATCTAGGTCAGTGACCTGGTAGACACTGTGTTCTCACTTGGGTACTCACCTGTCCTTGTCCTGCAGGTGGACTGCCTGAATCCGGCCAACCACCAGAGGCTCTGTGTCCTCTTCAGCAGCTCCTCTGCCCAGTCCAGCAATGCTCCCAGTGCTTGTGTCAGCCCTTGGTATGACGCTTCTCGCTGCCCTATTTCTCAATGAAAACTAATTCCTGCTATTGGTTACATGGCACATTGATGGCCACATACCATACAGTAGAATGTTTACACTTGAGTAACTGTGAAATTTCTTTGTTCGTGGGTAAAAAATAGTACCTTAAACAAGAGTGAAGGAATCTGAGAGAGAAAAAGAAATTTTTACATTACAAAGGTTACAAAGTTGACCTGCAAAAACTGGCTAAAAGTTTTATAAAGGCTAAAAGCTACATTTTGATTATATCATGTGCAGTTTAGGTGAGTTTTCCTGTTGAATAATTTTTATAAAAGCAGTCAGCCTTTTATCTTAGTCTTTGTAGTTTTGTTACTGAGCTATACCACATACTGGCCTTTTGTCTCCTTAGTACATTCTTCTTGGGAACATCTAAGTAAGTTTATAGAGACAAATACATTTTATAATGTAATATTTCCAGTGATAGTCACAAAAACCTTACATACTTGTTTTAAGGTTTGTTCGTTTGTTTTGTTGCTGCATTAAAAATTCTCTGTTAAAAGCAACCTAAAGGAGAAAGGGTTTTATTTGGCTCCTGTCCATCATGGCAGGGAAAGTCACTGCAGCTGCAGCTTAAAGTAACTGATGACATGAAGTCATCATTCAGAAGAGAACAAGAAGGCGTGGCTGCAGGTGCTCTGCTCCACCCCCTTCTCATGTGGTCCAGTCAGGGAATGTGCCACCGCAGTGGGGGGTCTTCCCATAGCAGTTCACACGGCAGGAGAAGCTTGCTTGTGTTTCATCTCCTCCTCTCCTCCCTGTGTGCACATACACAGCTTTGTGTGTGGGTGGTGGTGGTGGTGGTGGTGGCGGTGGTGGTGGTGGGGTTTATTTTCAGTGGAAAGATTTTTCTTGAAACGTGTAGTTCCAGGACAATTTTAAGCCTGGCTTTCTGAAAGGCCATAGAATTTTTCTCAGAATTTAATGGACTCCTTCAGTAATAACAGAAGAGGATACTGGTTTCAACAAGCACAGGTTCAAAGTCTAATTTTGGGCAGTTGTGAGTTCAGTTCAGTTAGGAACTGGCTCCTTATTAAGAGAGAGAGCTGCTGCTCTCTATACTCAGGGAAGATAGGGACCAGAGGGCAGTCGGGCACCCACCCCACCCCACCCCACCCCAGTGTTGATGGGGAGTCAAACTGTGGCAGATGATTTTATCTCTTCCTCATGCAAATCAGTTTTATTCAATTTGTTGTTACGGTTTATGCACTCATTAAATGATTTCTTAAGATATTAACGGGTTGGGAGTGGAAGGGTGAAGTAAAACCAGTTTTGTAGCAACAACATATATGATTTGCTTTATTACTTCATTATAAGCATATAATAATTAGAATATGGTGGTAATGTTGACATATTTCTAAGAAATTATCTCTTCTTTTAGGATTGTAACAATGGAATTTTATGGAAAGAATGATCTTACACTGGGAATATTTTTAGAAAGATACTGTTTCAGGTAAAATCTTATTTCTTCCTTATCATTTATTATGCTTTGCTCTTTCCTTCCTTCCTTCCTTCTTCCTTTCCTCTCCTCTCCTCTCCCCCACTCTCCCCTCCCCTCCCCTCCTCTCCCCTCCTCTTTATAGCCCTGGCTGTCCTGGAACTCACTATGTAGACTTCGCTGGCCTCAAACTCATAGTGATCTGTCTCCCATGTGCTGGGATTAATTATTATGCATTTTTGAGGCCCATAATTTCAAGCTAAAACATGTGAGTTGAATGTGAAGGACTGTTGATGGTCCTTACCTTTACACCACATGTCAGAGCATTTCTTACAATGATCAACTGGGAGCTCTTAGCGCTTGTCTCCTCTATTTCTTATATATTTCAGTGGAGCTGTTCGGCTCCTCTGCCATGCCAAGACTGTTTTGGTGTGTCTACTTTTACAGTGATTCAAATGGAAAGCAGGAAAGACTTAGGACCAGCTCGACTTCAGTTTGTGATTCACTGCTGTTACCAGTTAAATTACACAGCATGGGATGAGTAATTTAATGTTAGCAACCTCTTCCACAGGAAGTACAGCCCTTAAAAATGTCTGGGTTTTACTGTTGTTTGAAACTGGGCATTAGAAGGTGTTTGACGAATGGACAAATGACAGATGCTTTATGTTTAAGACAGAATGTTCAGCTGCAGCTCAGGGCCCATGTGTCCCGTTCAGATTGTCCACTGTTGGTCATTACTCTAGAGGTGGCGTGTCACTTCCTTGGTCATGGCTCTGATTATTCAGTACTTGGTATATGTGATCCTCTGCTTCATGCTTAATGTGAGAAGGATTCTCTTGTTTATCACAGATCATCTTACCAATGTCCTAGCATGTTCTGTGATACCCCCATGGTGCATCACATTCGACGCTTTGTTCACGGCCAAGGCTGTGTGCAGATAATCCTGAAGGAGTTGGATTCTCCAGTGCCTGGATATCAACATACAATTCTCACATATTCCTGGTGCAGAATCTGCAAACAAGTATGTGCTGCTGCTGGAATATTTCTTTCTATTTGTGTAGTGCTTTGGGGCATAGATAATCAATAGTATTTTGAGCTTTGTTATTTGTCATGATCTTATTTATATACCTTCTTGTGCTATATGTTTAACCTAATGCTTTAGAAAACTTTACTTAAAGAATGTCATTAGCTGGGCAGTGGTGGTGCATGCCTTTAATCCTGGAACTTCCGAGGCAGGGGCAGGCGGATCTTTGAGTATGAGGCGAGCCTGGTCTACAGATCTAGTCCCAGGACAGCCAGGGATACACAAAGAAGCCCTGTCTTGAAAAACCCTATATATATAATGTCATTAAATAATGATTTATGTATACCATTTTCTAGAATAATATATTGAAATTATATTTTGAAAATACTCAGTTATTTTTGTTAATTTAGCAGATACTTAATCCCATCTGTGTTCTAGGTACTGTGTTGCATTTTAGGCATAGAAAGTGAATGAATGTAAATCGCTTGTAAAGAAGGAGACAGACTTATAAAGCAGTAACTATAATATTTTAGGCTATTTTCCTAGCAAATCTGAGCTATATTAACATCTCTTCTAAAAACGTGTAGATGAGGCTTTGTTGACAATGACCTGTATAGACTTTTGTATAATATTAGAAAATGATATAGAATCATATTTAATTTCTTTGAACTATCTTTTCAATCTCTGAGGGAATTATTTGATGTCAGTATTGTGATTTTTTGTTGTTTTTTATTAAATCGATTCAATCAATTTTTTTAGAGAAGTGGCATAGATTTAGGTTTAAGGTTTATTTAATTTTATTTGTATATGTGTGTGCCCAAATGTCCGTATGTGTACTGTGTGTGAAAGTACCTGAGTAGGCTAAATGAGGACTTTAGATCGCTTGGAACTGCTACCTAATTATGGGAATTGAACTGGGGTTCTCTGCAAGGGCTGCAAGTGTTCTTAATTGCTGAGGTATGTTTCCAGCCCTAGTTTTATGGTTTTTTTTTTTGATGTGTTTGTTGTTTTAATTTACTTTTATTTTATATGTATGCACATTTGCCTGCATATATGTTTGTGTACCATGTATATGCATATTTCCCAAGAAGATCAGAAACTAGTTAAAATGGTTGTGAGACACTGGGGGATCAAACCTGAACTCTGTGGAAGAGCAGCCTGTCCTCTTTACTGCCGAGCCATCTCCAGTTCCTATCACATTTTAAATATATACTCTTCACTCATGTTACAGCCTTCATTGTTATCTTGATGTATTTTCCAGTGTGCTTGGAAAGCATTTATGAGAATTGTAGATAAAATAGCAGTGTGTCTGTTAGTATAACACTTGAGGATGGTGACATTAGCTTTCTTTATGTGCTGGGAACATACCGACTTGCAGTGATTTCATAGTACTGATCAAGTCTTCTGTACTTTCTTGTATATGTTAATGGAGATCAGGCTAGGCAAGTGCTTTATTTCCCCTCAAACTAGGTCATAGCATCTCATATCATAGACCCCTAGGTCCTAGTCCAAAATGCTGGTAGATCAGTGGTTCCTACCTCTAATACAATTGTTCATATTGTGGTGACCTCCAACCAGAAAGTGATTTTGGTCACCACTTCAAAATATAAGAGTTTGCTTCTGTTACGAATTGTAATGTAAATATCTGTGCTTTCCAATGGTCTTAGGAAACCCTTGTGAAAGGGTATTTGACCCTCAAGGGGGTTGTGACCAACAGGTTGAGAGACACTGTTGTAGATTCATTGTTGAATTAAGTCAATAGCTAAATTTTGGTCTGTTTTTCATGCTTTGGTTTATGCATTTAAGATTTTTTTAAGTTTTATGGAGTTATGCTAGAAAGGAAAAGAGTTTTTGTTAACATATACACAAAAGAAAAACTTCTAGTACAAGAAAAATTTAATGTTAAATTTTGTAAGCCACAGTAATAGAAAAAATGGGCAAAGGTCATGACAAAGCAATTAATACAAATGGTCAGTTAAATATGCAAATGAATTTATTTATTAACTAGTTGAAGCATAAATGAAGCCAAATATTAATGAAACAAGTAAAATGCATTAAAAACATTTCAGAGATGAATAATTCATAGGATTGGTAGGAAAGTGAGGGACTTAGTATTCTTAGTTACTGTTGTTCAAAATGTGTAAATGAATATACCTGATTTGACAAAAAAAAAAAGAAAACCATTTCCCTTTGATCCATCATTGCCCACCCTTACTGATTTATTCTAAAGGAACAAATATGTCTCTTTTGAGTGTGTTTGCAAGAATGTTCAGTAGAGCCTCATGCAAATAAGGGAGACCTGTCTATCTCAAATGCCCATTAGTGGACAGTTAGTGTGAGACCATACCCCATGGGCATTTAAAGGTTGTAAAGAAAGCAAATTGATGGTGTGTGAGGGTTTATTAGAGCTATCCTCCTCAACCTCCCAGTGTTGTCGGGAGGGCTGCTTGTTTGTCCCGGCCGCCCAGCTAGCTTAGCCCCGAAATAACCACACAGAAACTGTGTTCATTTAATCACTGCTTGGCCTATTAGCTCTAACATCTTATTGGCTAACTCTTACACCTTGATTTAGCCCATTTTTATTAATCTATGTTTCACCATGTGGCAGTGGCTTACCAGGAAAGATTTAACATGTCTGATTCTGGCGGCTCCATGGTGTCTCTCTCTTCTGCTTTCTTTCTTCCAGAATTCAGTTCTGTCTTCTCTGCCTACCTAAGTTCTGGCCTATCAGGCCAAAGCAGTTTCTTTATTCATTAACTACTACAAGCAACACACAGAAAGAAGGACCTCCTACACCATCCTAGCTCAAATCCATTTTGAATATTTTGTTTTTTTCCCATTTTTTCTCCCTCAGAATATGTTGTTTGTCTTAGAAAATAGAAAATACATCTTTCAAAAAACGAGATTTTCAGCATGTAATTTATTAAATTTTTTTCTTTCTGAACTCCAGGTAACACCAGTTGTTGCTCTTTCAAATGAATCCTGGTCTATGTCATTTGCAAAGTACCTTGAACTTCGGTTTTATGGGCACCAATATACACGCAGAGCCAATGCTGAGCCATGTGGTCACTCTATCCACCATGATTATCACCAATATTTCTCTTATAACCAGATGGTGGCATCCTTCAGGTAAAAAAGCAGAAAGGTCTTGTACTTATCACCTGTTGTTTTCTTACTTACCATAGCTCTCTATTCACATTTTATCTGCCAAGTTCTTCCTCCTTCGTTCTTGGTTTATTATTTCTTTTGCTGTAGTGCTCTGATAAAAATATCTTAGATATTTACATTTTGTTTATTACCCTCATCTAATTCTAGAGTTAGGAGGGCAGAAATTTTGGTGCTATATTCTTGATACTTAGAACATTGTTTCACACATAATATACTCACAAAATATTTATTAATTAGAATGTATTTCCTTTTTAAAGCAGGGTCTTTTAACGATAAACATAGGGTGTAGGTTGGATGCAGCATTTATTAGTCAATACCTCAGGTAGGAAGGACAAGAAGACTCATGAAGAACCCTAAGAGCTGGAAGGTAATAAATTCCTTCATTTTAGTCTCTTCAGATCCAAAGAGAAAGTTTACAGTAAAATCATTGCTGTTTTATAGCAGATGGCCCTCAGAGGGATAATAATAATGGCATCACAGTGCAAGGATAAAAAATCCTCTCAGTACTGGGGAAGATACCTCTGCTGGTTGAATGTTACTTTTTTTTTTTTATCTTTATGAAACTTGATTTTATAGAAAACTTTATTTTTCTCTTATGCTCTTTTGAATATATATTTATGCCCCATATAAATTATTAAAATATTTTTTCTCCTCTTATTGTTTTTTTTTTTCCTCAGTTATTCTCCTATTCGGCTTCTTGAAGTGTGTGTTCCACTACCAAAAATATTCATTAAACGTCAAGCCCCACTAAAAGTGTCCCTGCTCCAGGACCTCAAGGACTTTTTTCAGAAGTAGGTTTCTTTGTCTTTGGTCATCCATGTTTGTTTTGTCGTGTTTGTAACCCATTGCTGATTTAGTTGTCAGGTTTACCCATATATGTAGTGTGTGCTCAGTGTAAAAGAAAAAGTTCAAGTAACACAGGAAAACCTCTCCAAAACACAAGTGACAACTGGAAATTTTGAAGTAAATCCTTTGAGGCTTTGTTTTGCTTTGCAAAATTTCCATGTGATTATTGATAAGATAGCTTATTTTATTGATAGTTTTATATAAAATACCTTTTCTTCTAATTTCTATGAAGTGGTTTGATTTTTAACTCCTCTAACATGTGATACCCTCCCCATTTTTAGAGTTTCACAGGTGTACCTAGCTGTTGATGAAAGACTTGCATCCTTGAAAACAGATACATTTAGCAAAACAAGAGAGGAAAAAATGGAAGATATTTTTGCACAAAAAGAGGTAATTTGTTTCTTTTATAGAAAATACTGAAGTTACTGACTTGCTGGAAATCCCTTTGTCTCTGTGGTGTCTCCGCTTATTAAACTTGAATCTGTTGCCTTCCAGATGGAAGAGGGTGAGTTCAAGAACTGGACTGAGAAGATGCAAGCAAGGCTTCTGTCCTCCTCTGTGGACGCCCCTCAGCAGCTGCAGTCCATCTTTGAGTCACTCATAGCCAAGAAGCAGAGTCTCTGTGAGGTGCTGCAAGCGTGGAACAGCAGGCAAGGCTTTGTCGGGGCCTTCTTGACACTGCTACCAAATTTCTTCTGCCATGATTTTTCAAAATTTGTTTTCTGGTCCTGAAGATTAAATCCAAGGCCTTACTTTTGCTAGGCAATACTCTACCACTTAACTAAATTCCCAGTGACAATATTTTAAATTTAAAGCTCTATTTATTATAGATGTTTTATTTTTTTCATTATAAAGATTTTTTTGACTTTTGTTTTCTTCATCCTTTAAAACATATTGCAGCCTTTACATAGTTTGTTAAGATAAAAACAAACAAAACAAAAGGAAACAGCCCTCTTTGCTGTTTAAAATATGTGTGCTGCTGAGTGAGATTGATTGGATCATTGTCCCATGAAACATCATTGGCTATCATAAGAATTCAGTAGTGGCTCCATATACCTTTAAAGTCTGTTTCAAGAGAAAGTTTGTAAGTATAAACTGGAAACAAAATCATGTCCTTTCTGCCTGTGACTATAGGTTGCAGGACCTTTTCCAGCAGGAAAAAGGTAGAAAGAGGCCTTCGGTTCCTCCCAGTCCTGGGAGACTGAGACAAGGTGAAGAAAGCAAGGTAATAATGAAGTGTAGCTTTGTCTTTACTGTCATTGATAAACACACAGTCAGTTCCATTTCTAACACTTTAGGAGTTGTAGTTTAATGCATTAAGTTTTCTGTCATATTGGTGTATTTTCAGGGAAATATAATCTGGATTACTTTTATATACTAACCCCAATTAAAATGATGTGTTCTAATTAATTTATTTGAAGTATTTGTCAAAAGGTTACTGTCCCTGATACACCATTGAGGATATTACAGAGGAAGCTTGTAGGTTCTCAGCGTATATAATAGAGTTCTAATTTTTCATTTTCCTTTCTTTTAAAAATATATTTGTTTACTTTTATTTTATGTGCTTAAGTGTTTTGTCTGCGTGCCTGTATATGTACCTCGTACGTATCTAGAGCCCACAGAGCAGAAAGGGCATCAGATCCCATGGAATTGGAGTTACAGGTGACTGAGCTATCATGTGGATGCTGATAGCCAAACTTAGGTCTTTTGGAAGAACAGCAGGTGCCCTTAACTGTTAAGCCTTCTTTCAAGCCCTTGGGCACTTTTCTTACTGTGTAGTTTTGGGTGTTTGATTTCTGTGCTTGAATGAGAAGTTCTTCTTAAGCCATCTTCCCTGGATCACTCCCTTCCCAACTGATTGCTTTCTTTTGCTGAAAACAAAATACCACAAACTTTGTGTTCAAAAATGCAGACTTAACTGTTTTATAGTGGTGTATATGACTGGATTCTTTATTCAAAATCCCACAGAGCTAAAATTAAGGACTCAGCCAGGGTTTCTCTTATTTTTGAGGGTCAGCATGTTCTTCCAAGCTCCTTTAGGTTGTTGACAGGACTTGGTTCCTATAGTGACCGATCTTCTATTGGTGGCTGTTGATGCTTACATTCCCTGCCCTGCAATCCGTTCCATCTTCTAAGCCTTCCACGCTAGTTCAGCTCCTCTTGAGCTTCAGATCACTTTATCTCTGACTTACACAGCTTTAAGATTTTTGTACTTAATGTATCTGGATTTTTCTTCGTTTTGTGGTCAGTTGACTTGGCACCATTATATTTGCAAAATTCTTTCACAGCAATACTTATACTTCTGTTTGTTAGAGTGATTGGAATAAGGGTGTATACACCAGAGGCTAAACATTTTTGGGGACCTTTAGAATTCTGCCTGCCATGCTGCTCAGATATCACAGGAAATGATGCTAGTGTAGTGACCTTGTATCCTGACATCACAGGGTTTTGAGGATGGAGGAGGTTCTTTTCATGTCACCAGACTGTTGTAGAGAAATGTCATGGAATGATGGCTCTACATACTGCAAATCATTTTAGAAAATTGAATGGTTATTTTTGTCTGTTAAGCGACTATTTAATAATTGTATTTCCTCTTAATATTTAGATAAGAATAACAGTTGGAATGATAGCTCAGTAGTTAAGGGCCCGGGTTCATTTCCCAGCACCCACATGACTGCTCACAGCTGTCTGTAACTCTAGTTCAAGAGGATCTAACACCTTCACACAGACATATATGAAAGCAAAAACATCAATGCACATAAAAATAAATAAAAATCTTTTAAAAAGAAAGAAAGAAATTCACTATCACTCATGAGATGATCTGCTTTTGGAAAGGTGAAAATTGACTTGAAATCCTGTTACACTGCCTTTTGGCAAATGGTTTTGAGTACCTGTTTTTCTTTACGTGTTTTTCTATGTTATATGGCATTCACTTGTGAACAACAGTCATAGTTACTGTCTCATAAAAACATTTGCCTGGTTAAAAAGAGACTGATAGAAAACACATGAACCCAAAAGGATTTAGTGACTATAAAAAGGTTGTAGAAAAGTGTAAAGAAGGCAGAGTTTGGTGATGGAGTAGGTGTTAGTGGTGGGTTTATTTTATTTAAATGACACAGAGAATCTCTCTAATATGGTAGCCACTACTGACATGAAATGACTTATAAGTAAATTCCCCATGGGACTTGTAGTCCTGATAATGGTGTCCATGGGTAGATGGCTGTTAAGAGAGGAGTAGGCTTACTAGACTGATCTGAGTGTGCCTAGATGTGTCCATACCAAGGTGTGAGCTACTATTTAGAGCAATATTCTCAAAGTCATAGGTCCATGTCTACAGGATATAGAGTCTAGTTGTCTTCTAGTTAGCCAGACATCTAAGATGGTTCTGCTAATGTAAAACAGTGACACTTCTTCATTAGTGTTTTTTTTTTTAATTTTGGAAAATAGCTTTATTCTGCTTCAACTAGCTTTTATATTTATGTTTCTATGTAATGGTGTTATTTCTAAGTGAACCAATAAATGCATACTTAGAAATGTACTCAGACTTAATTAGTTAAAATGGCAAGAGCCACTTTAAATTATTAAGACGTAATATTTTAGTGGAAACATGTCTTGAGTTCAAAAATTTCAAGATTCACTGGGTTAGACTACTTTTAAAGTGTGATTTTTTTTAAAAAAAATATATCCTTAAAACTAGCATATTTATTTCTCTTCAGATAAGTGCAATGGACACATCTCCAAGGAATATTTCTCCAGGACTTCACAATGGAGAAAAAGGTTGGTCTTTAGTCTGGTGACCTCTTGCTCTTGCATTTAAAGAGATTTTACTCTGTAAGTTACTTTTAACTGCTAATGTAAGCATTATTTTCTAACACACGTGGCCATAGTAATTTTATTCCTTGTAGAACAAGGAATTGTCAATTTTTATGGCATAAGTTACATGACCTAGAAATTTTCAAAAAGGTATAATTCCACGTTTTAAGAAGTAGAAATACGATTTGGAATTTAAAAAAGTGTTATCAGGTGAAATGGATTCTTATCTTAACTGACTCATTTAAGATTATGTTTCTCTAGAGGATCGCTTCTTGACAACCCTGTCCAGCCAGAGCTCCACAAGCTCTACACATCTCCAGCTGCCAACTCCTCCTGAGGCCCTGGCTGAGCAACTAATGGGAGGGCCTTCCGACCTCGACACAGCCAGTGGCTCTGAAGGTGAGGTTCAGGCCACTGTTTACCCTTTTTCATTGAATCTAAGACTGAGATGATTCCTTGTTTCATATGTGTCTCTGAAAAAGAAAAACATGGCTAATTCTTTGTTATAGTGCTTCTTATCCTTTAGAATTGTTTATGTTTGTTTAAAATTCTTTTTTTAAGGGGCTGGAGAGATGGCTCAATGGTTAAGAGTATCTGCTGCTCTTCCAGAGGACCCGGGGCTCAATTCTCAACACCCAAATGGCAGCTCACAACTCTTTATAATTCCAGTTCCAGGGAATTTGACTCCCTCTTCTGACACCTCCTTGGATACCAGTCAAACACGTGGTGCACATTTACACATGCAGGCAAAACACTCATGCACATAAAGAAATAATGAATTAAATTTTAAAATACCTTTTTAAATACAGCCTTTTATTATATCCCTTCCATTAGCTGAACTGACATGCATCACTGTGTATATGTACGTGTCCTAGTAAAACTGTGTTACTCATTGTTATCTACCCTTTGGGGACATCTTTTTTAAGGTGTGTAAGGTGCTTTGTGTATTGCTTTGTAAGATGAAGGAAAATTTTGCCATTTTTTTCCCAACAGACATTAACATTATAACAAAATCCATGCCTTCTCTCTTTTCTTGTTTTTTGTTAAGCAGTACCTACTGAATTCTGAACTTCGGCTCACTTTGCCGTTGCTGTCAGCTGAGGTGTAATAGCTAGAATGCACACTCCAGTGCTGCAGTAACAGCACGGTGGCATTTCATGCATAGTCAGACAGTGAGTCTCTTGTGGATCCTGTGACAATAAGAGACCGCTGATCAGGATGTCCTGAGTTTCAGATGTAAGGAACTAAACATGTTTCTTGGAGTTAGTGCTGAGTTTACCTCACTGTTGCCATTTCATTTTCTAAGAGCCACTTTCTTGGGCTAGTAAATGAAAACCATAGTTTATATTCATGATGCTCAGTGTGCCTGTCTATATTCTCAAGAGAAAAATAAATAAAAGACGCTTCTTCTTTTATTTTTCCTAAATGTTAATGTGTAAGTAGAATATTTTTCATCCTAGATGTATTTGATGGGCATTTGCTGGGATCCACAGACAGCCAGGTGAAGGAAAAGTCAACCATGAAAGCCATCTTTGCTAATTTGCTTCCAGGAAACAGCTATAATCCCATCCCATTTCCTTTGTAAGTATTTCAAAACCAAGTGACCCTCTGTGCTTAACTCACTATGTATTTAGATCAGTTTATCTGCAAATATGTTTCTTAATTCTAAATTTTGCATCATCCTCATAAAAGAGATGGCTTTTAGCGTGTAATTTCCACAATGTTATCACTATATACTAGAAAATGGAAGAAGAAATGTTAACTTATGTTGCTTAGTGTGTAAAGGCACTAGTTCTGGAAACAGACACACAACATATGTTCATCTATGTAAAGACATACTGCTACATCCATTGATCTTTTTAAGAATTTATTTTGGAATTTTGCTTGTATGTGTAGTATGTGAAGTGTATGTGAGATCGCGCATGTATGTGTACGTACACATATACATGTATATGCAATATCCATGTGTATTTGCAATATCAGGGCCTTTCACTGAACCCAGAGCTAGTTGATGGCCAGCAAACCCCAGTGATCTTGTCTCTGTCTCCCTTAGTACTGGAGGTCACAGGCATGTGTGGTCATATCTGGCTTCTTATATGGTGCTAGGGACTTGAGTCATCTCTTCAGCCCACATTTATTTATCTTTAAGATACATATTGCTAGTTGTATATGAGTGCATTGCCACCCTATAATTAATTTTAACAGATACTGATAAGGAGCAAAATGATCCATGTATGTTTTCATGTTTTTATTTTGTTTTGTTTTGCTCAGACTGGAAAGAAATGCATGACAACTCTAAAAGCTTGTTTTTCTGCTGGTTGGCTGTGTGGCCATCAAATGCTGCCTTTGTTATGCTGGCACAAGTATATCCAAACCACGAGCCTTTACTATGTTTTTATTCAGTAATAATTTTCATTTGGTGCTGTTCTCTTGTCCCCAGGTAGAGAGCATTACTCTTAGGAGCTCATGGTCTTGGGGAAGAGACAGTAGAGATACTCAGATAGTTTAGGGATTCACTACATGGTGTCTTGTATAAAAGGCTCACTTGGTCAACTGCAGGCCTAACAGTCTGTTCTTCGATGTTGTTTGTTCTTCCTATTGGGAACAATTGCCTAGTGCTACTATGGCCTTTGTGCTCTTACGCTCTTTCTCAGTCAGGAAGTTATGTTCTTTTTTGAAGAAAACTTTACTGGATGCTCCTTCTGTGCCCTAGTACTGACTAAATTAAGTCTCTATGTGTTGTCAAAATTCTTGTCTTCATGTAGGCTGCTATAATGAATTTTCATATCTTGGTTTGCTTATAAACAATACAGATGTATTTCTCACAACTCTGGAGGATCACACTGTGTCAGCAGGGTCGGTTCTGATGAGGGTCCTTGTCCAGGCCGTCCTCACATGTCCCTTATGGCAAGGACACTGACCACATTTATGGTGTCATTATTCTTGATCTAAAGACCCTATCTCCCTCTACCACTACACCGGGACTTGGGGAACAGGATCTAACATTCATCCATAATAATTCTCTTGCTCACTCACCATAGAGAGTTTACTTATTTACTTGTAGAATTGTTTCTTTACCGCCTGCACTACAAACGTACATGCTGGTTCTGTTCTCACTGGTGTATTTTTAACTATGTACATATACGGAAAATATGGAAATAGAACTTTTTCTCACTGTTGTTTTTACACTACATTGGATAGTCAGTAAATGACATCTAAGTAAAGTCAGTGACTCCTAATGGTTCCCAGTGGAGTTAGACCAGAAGTCAGGGGAACAAAATTTGGGTTGAAATTAACACTTGGTTTCCATGTGATCACAGCAGAGTGTCTCTTAGATTACTGCTGTGGAAGTAGAAGCACTATTTCTACGTAATTTTAGGAGGATTCTCTGAGGGTTAGGATAGAACACCGTATTTTAGATTATTTATTGCATACTCTTTTTTGAGACTAGTATGACCAAGATCTTGGCAGTAGGTAAAGCTTTGGAGTAACCATTTCTAGAACCTCATTTGAAACCTATTTATTTTTAAATTTTATGTGTCTGGGTGTTTTGCCTACATGTATGTTTGTGTATCATGTGTATGCCTGGTGCCTAAAGAGGCCAGAAGAGGGCATTGGATTCCCTCTGGACTGGAGTAACAGACAAGTGCAAAGCTACCATATGGGTGCTAGGACTCAAGCCCTGGTCCTAGTGTTCTTAACTGCTGAGCCATCTCTCCAGCCCCAAAACTATTTCTAACATTGTTTCAATGAATTTATAAATATTTCTTTTTTCTTTTTGCTGTTTAGTTGCTGTAGTCTCTCAGCATTTGCGTGCCTCTTGGCTTGTATTGCTTAGCGTATGGCTGCCTTAAAATTGTCCTGAGATTTGACTTCTAATTATAGTCTTACTTTATTGAGCAGTGATCCAGATAAACACTATTTAATGTATGAACATGAACGGGTACCCATCGCTGTCTGTGAGAAAGAGCCCAGCTCCATCATTGCTTTTGCACTCAGGTATTCTAAGTCTTTCCTGTAGTTACAGCTATAAGTTTCTGTGTCTGTCACACAGAAATAGGTAATTAATTACCTAAATAGGTAATTAATTACCCTATTTAGGTGCTGTTTCCAATAAAATAAAGGAAAATGATTAAATGCAAGCAAAAGTATATGTTCTATAGTCATGATGATTTTTCTTTTTGTTTTTTGTTTCTTTTTTTAATTTGAAAACCTTTACTCAAATAATGGGATTTGGCATGACTTTTAAGCAAGTATACTTAACAGCTAATGTGACTTGGCATAGTATTTACTAACTCTTGAATATTCTGATCACGCTGTCTGATTGATAGCCCTGGTAACATAACAGTGAAGCATACCTGTTTTGGCATTATCTGAATATCATTTCCTTTCTACTTCACACACATACTGCCTGAAATTTTCCTACCTAGAAAATTCTGTTTCTGCTCTCTTGTTCCAAAGACATGTTTGGATGTATAACTTACGGACCTGTCGTTTATCTTAAAGAAAGCATTGCACCTTTAAAATATTTGTATCTAATATCTAAAAACCTAAGAATCTCATTCATAAAACTATTTTGGCTGTGGATGAATTTAATTTAAATAGCATTTGAGGTGCTTAACTAAAGTTTTCCTTTCATTGTAAAGTGTAAAATAATTTTTTTATGTATTGATTATACAAAACGTCACATTTATTAAAAAACATTTGGTTATAAACAAAATGTAGTGCATAGATATTGGATATACCAGAGTAAGTAGTATAGTTGTATCTGCTTCTACCTTCATGGAGGTCAGCGCTTTCTGTAGATAATGAAGAGTTTTCGCTTTCTAAGAGTCTGTATAATGATTCTTTTCTTTGTGCTTTAGCATTATGAAGATAATATTTGCTTCTTACCTCGTTGATTAATCACAGTCTGTCAATAGATATTAAAGGGACAAAAACTTTAGCCATTCTTTATATTATTAGGAAGCAAGTGTTCTACCTGAATTCATGTTTCAATATTTTAGGAAAGTGATGCATACTAATATTCCAGGCTACTCCTCCAGGAATCAGATTTTAAACCTTTGGAATGCTATTTTTTTTAAAAAGTTTAGATTCTTTAAAGAGAAAATCACTTTCAAATTCCGTTACTCTCTCTATTGTACTAAGTCTCAGTCTTTCTTATTTTAACTTACCTGTTCATTTGATCCAGATAGTTGTAGGTAGGCTTTTTGGGGGGTAGTTGTGTGAGGGTTGCTGATGGCCATTAAATCCAGGGCCTTTAGAGCAAGAGCTCTCCCACTAAGTCATATCCCAGCCCTTATACAATGGATATAGTTGGTGAACTGGTGAGTTAAATCTTTATGGACATTCACAATGATTATGCTTCTATAATGCAAAATTTATTTTAAAACTTATGTTTTATTGTTAAACAAGAGCTTAATGTTTTAACACTTTTCAACCTATTTCTGCCCCAAGTTGTAAAGAATACCGAAATGCCTTAGAGGAATTGTCCAAGGCAACTCTGTGGAACAGTGCTGAAGAAGGGCTTCCAACAAATAGGTGATTAATGATTGAGTAAAATCTTTTTAAATTGAGCTATGTCATCATCTTCTGTGTCCTGGACTTTAATTCTGTGACATCATATATTAGCACAAAATCTCCTGGGATTCACATAGTCATTTCAGCTAACTGCTGGAGCAGCACAACTCAAGTCTTCTCAGGTCTTCCACAGCCTTTAGGATACAGCTTCTGACATTTGTTGTGATGTGTCACTGTGTGCTATGGATTAAAACTTGCAATTTTTTAAATGATAAAAATAACAAGCTGTTTTATTAAAGAAAAAAATAACCAGTAACCTGTAAAGTTAGTTGTGGTACTGCTTGGCTTTATAATTTTAAGTGCTTGTCAAGTTTCTTTAGTACTAATAAACCTAATACTTAGAAAATAAATACTCAAATCAATGCACTTAGCATGTTTTGTGTTTTCGACAGAAATTTCCATACGCTTATCCTTACTGATATAAATTCTCCTGTTTTACTGACCTAATAAAATTTAGTCTGAATTATCTTTGCGACTAAAGTAAGAAAAATGAAATTGATATATTTTTGTAATTGACTTATTATAGTTCTAACAGTATTTGGGAAAATTTTATAAAAGTCTATTGCTTTGTACATTTTTTATATACTTTTCTAGTCCTAGTATTTTATTTCTTTAAACGTAGTAAATATTTCAATATTTTTTGTTACTTGTTTTTATCAAAACCATGAATCATATTTTTGGTATTGTGGGTGGCTTTAGTTTAGGAATTAGGATGCTTGCTTTTTTCTATCTGAATTTCTTCAAACTATTTTTCTTTGTTTTCATGGCAGTGCTTTAGATAACAGACCAAAGAGTAGCAGCCCCATTAGATTACCTGAGAGTAGTGGAGGACAGACAAACCGTCCAGTAGACGCAGAACCTCAATCAAGTAAGATTTAAGTTTTTATTATATTTATATTTATTATTATAATCATCATTATTACTATTATTGCATGTGTGTGTGTGTTAACATGAGTGTGGAAACCAGAGGACAGTTTTTGGAGTCAGTTTGATCCTTCTACTGTGTGGGTCTCAGCAGTCTTGCCCAGGTTCTCAGGCCTGGAGGCAAGTACCCATAACCCCTAAGCCATCTCACAAGCCCGAAATACAGACATTTCTATAATTGTTCTATTTATGATTTGTAGAGGAAAATAAAAGTGATAAGAAATGCCATCTGATAAGAATTGCTCTTTGAAAAATAAACATTTTTTTTTTAAAAAATCCTGTTTTATAGATGTTTTGCTTCTGTGAGTCTTCTGGAAATGCAGATTCAGTTTATTGAATTTAAAATGTGTAGAAGCCCTTGGTGAGAAGAAGGATTTGTCTTTCTTAAGCTTTCCACCTAAAATATACACCCTAAGAAACAATAACAATGTACACCTTTTTAAATTTTATGTTATTATTGGCATACTGACAACTTTTTTGCTACTATCTCCTTTAAACTTTACCATACTCTCATAAGAATTGTCTGTTGCATCCATGTTTTTAGGAAGGAAGCTACGATTTAGACTAATTCTCTTGCTCAGGACTAGATGGAAGTAGAGTTGGGGCTTGGATGTGGCTCGTGTTCAGTGTTTGCTGATGCTTTGTGGTTGGCAGGACCAGGAAGCACAGGTGAATGTAAAGCCTTACTGAATGACTGACACCCGGCAGCAGACAGGTGCGGGTGGTGATCTGCTCAGAGACAAGAGAGGATTTTTTATTTTTCTCATTTTCTTTAAACTAAAACAATATTCCAAATCTGTGCTGAAACAAAGAGAAGGGTGGTGTAGGGTGTATCTGTGCTCTTTTGTTACAGGCGCATCTGTGCCCTGTAGACTTACTTGTCAGGCCCCAGTCTTAGGGCCAGCCACCTCTGACTCTACAGTGTCCTGCTGTGTTTATATGAACCACCATCCAGTTTTTTGGGTCTCTACACATGGTTATCCCCACAAAAATTGCATTTCTGTTAGCAAAGACTTATGCATCAATGGATAATAAGCACTATTATGATTGATACTCTGTGGATTTTGTAAGTGATACTGTTAGAATCATACATATTAATATGATGAATGAAATTAAAAGCTGTAAACAAAAAAGCAAAAGTACAAATTCTTGTTATTCTAGGATACTTTTTAAAAATTTTATATATGCTAATTTTTTTAGATTTTATTTTTTGTGGCTGGAGGAATGCCATTATGGCTGAGTGTACTGACAGCTTTTTCAAAGGATACTCTTCTAGATGACCCAGGTTCAATTCCTAGCACCTGCATGACAGTTTACAACTGTGTTACTCCACTTACAGGGGACCTAACAAAATACCAATGCACATAAAATAAAATGAAAAAAATATTTTATTTGTACTTTTATTTTTCATGTACATGTCTGTGTATTTATGTATGCTGTGTGTGTCTCCTTGGAGGACAGAAGAGGATGTCAGATCCCTGGAATTGGAGTTACAGGCAGCTTATAGTTGCCTGACAGGGGTGCTGAGGACCAAACACAGGTCTCCTGGAAGAGCAATGTGTGCTGTTAACTGCTGAGTCATCTCTCCAGCACCTATTTTATTTAATTATGTGTGTGTGTGCCTTTGTAGGGTGTGTGCTTTTGAGTATAGGTGCCCATTGAGTCTGAAGAAGGTGTCAGATCTACAGCTGGAGTTATAGGCAGTTTCGAGCTGTCTGATGTGGGCGCTGGGGACAGACCTTAGGTCCTCTGCTAGAGCAGTATGATTATGCTCTTAGCTGCTTTGTTGTCTTTCCAGCCCCCCCCCCCCCCGAAAAACGATACCTATTTCTTTCTTTCTTAATTTTGAAGGATTCTGTGCACAACATGTTTTCCTCGGTTAAGATACAGAACACAGGGACTGGAAGCTGGCTCAGGGATTGAGTGTTGTGTCTCTTCCAGAGAACGTGGGTCTGATTTCCAGCATCCACATCATGGCTAACAACCTTCTGTTACCCCAGTTCTAGGGGATTCTGGCTTCTTCAGAAATTCATGAACATGGTTTACATGTATGCAGGCAAATTGTCATATGCTTAAAATAAGAATAAATAAATATTAGGACAATACAGAGTGCAAAAGCTAAAGTTACCTTTAGCTCTGAATTCTTTTAGCTTATAAAATTGTTTCATGTTGATTTTTCCTGCAATGTTTTAAGAATGCTGTGGTAATTCATGCTATTGCTTAAAGAGTTTTGTCTGGCTTTCTGGAGAATTTCTCGCATTTCACTTTCAACTAGCTGAACGTTTTTGCCTTGTTTCTGATGAGGGTGCTCACTGACTTAAAAACGCATCAGCATGTGGAATTAAAATCTGTAAACAAGAGTATCTACGTAATGCAGACCTTTAGCTTCATGCCTGATTACTGCCACCGTTAGTGATCTACACCTAAGTTTATATGTTACCTTTTATTTTTAAGCCAAAAAAGCTTCAGGAATGTTGTCCTTCTTCAGAGGAACGTCAGGGAAGAGCCCCGATCTCTCTTCTCAGAAGAGGGAGACCTTACGTGGGGCCGACAGTGCTTACTACCAGGTGGGGCAGAGCGGCAAAGAGGGGATGGAGAGCCAAGGCGTGGAGCCTCAAGGTATGAAGTGGAGTATGTGTGCTTATTTTTAGCCTTCATTCATTTCTTTCAGTTTTGTGTACATTTTTTAATAGACTTAACTCCTTAGTGTAATAGACCAGAAGCAGCATGATACTTGAAGAGTCCATTTGGCTTCAGATGTCTGCAATGTTATTTTTTGAGTGCTAGAATCAGAAAGCTTTAGTGTCCATACCTATAAAGAAGCAAAAGCAAAGTCTTCTAAGGGCTCAGTGGCATTATACATGTAAACACAACATAATATGTATTCATCTTTTCATTACCCATTATCTCCTCCAGATGCTTTCTTCTTCCCCAGTCCCTGTAAGATGGCTATGTATTTCCTACCCAACAAACTGTTAGTCGTTGATTCGTGCTGGGAAAGGAAAATCAGTTCTTGCCAATGGAATGTCTCTGTGTTTATCAGCCACATTCTAGGGCCGGCCCTATGCCCAGGAGTAATTGGCCAACAGAAAGCAGATTACAGACTCTTGATTTTTGTATGTGTGCATATTTTCTTTTAGGATTTTTTTTTCTTGTCTTCTTAGATTTTTGTTTTGACTTTCATGTTCTGTTTTCTGTCTTTTTTTTTCTTTTTGAGAAAGAGGGCAAGAACATGAGAGCTGAAGTCAGGTCAGTAGGGAAAAGTGGATGATATTTGAGGAGTTGGGGGAAGGGAAAGAATATGATCAACATATATTGTATATAAAAAAGAAAAAATCAAAACTGCAGATTGACTTGGTGGTATACAGGTATAATTCTAGCACTTAGGAGGCTGAGGCAGGGGGATTTTAAGTTTATGGCCAGTTTAGGTCACACTATTTCAAAACTAAGAAAAACAAAGCAAGAACATAGCAACTGATAATTTTTTTTTACTAGTATTTGAAATACATGTTTAATATTCTGTATGTTACTGTTGGTCTGTAGGTGTCTGTTATGTGATCCTTGGAGGGATATGAAGGGATGTGATGCCTAATAAATGGTTCTGAAATGTGAAACTTAGGGGATGGTTTGTTCTTCTAGATATTAGGGTGTGTTTCGTATTTATAGTAAATGTTGTAGAGAGAACTCAGGTGGAGGGATGTTTTGTTGAGGGACAGTGAATGGGAAAGGAGGCGGGACGGGGAGACCGGCCTCTGGGGACAGTAGTAGCAGAAGAGAGAGAAGGGAGAACAGAGAGATAGACAGAGACCGAGAGAAAGAGGGCGAGATGGAGGCGGTCAGGGCCCTTTTTAAAGGGAATGCAGTAAATGTACACAAGAGGTGCCTGTAGTGGCTGCAGCTGAGGACGTATACCCCAAGGTCAGGCCTTGCAGATGCCTGAATACTAACAGTAAGCATAGTGGGTCTGGCCAGGAAGATGAGTCAAATGCAAAAAAGGAAAGACTTTAATATGTCAAAGAAGCATTATTGTAGTCATTTACATAATTTGTCTGTCTAATGCATATTTTATAGTGATTTGATTAGGATATTTGTATTATTGATTTGCTAAATTTTGTTGCTATATTTGGAAAAAGGACAAAATGAACGTCTAATGCTTTGTTTTTATAAATGATATTAAATCTTTTAGATGAGGTAGATGGAGGAGACACACAGAAAAAACAACTCACAAATCCTCATGTGGAACTTCGTAAGTATGCTGTTAACGTTTTGTCTAAGGACAGGGACTGTAACTAAGATGTCTAACTTCATTCTAGATAAATGTACTGATTTTTTTTAAATGAATGTTAGGTATTGGTATGAGTTTTCAATTTATAAAATCTGTACTATTTATTTTCTTTATTTAAATTATAATTATAAATTAATTATGCTTTAATTTTTAAAATTTAAATATTTTCTTACTATGTAATTGAGAGGCACAGAGCTTGACATCATTAAGGTGTTTATTTGGGGTGGGAGATGACATGTTTTGGCCCTGGTTTCAGTCCTCATTGCCATATGACTATATGCTCATAAAAGCTGACGTTTAAGAAGTGCTTTAGAAATGCAGTGAAGAAAATACAGCACCCAGTGTAAAAGCAGAGCAGAGCCTCATATTCGATGGGCAGATGGTGTTCCGATATATGAAGCTTGCCACAACACAGTTGTGATTGACCAGATTTTTACTTCATTATGTTTGGTACTTGGAGAGGTAAGAGATTTTCTGTTTACATCTTTTTTTTTCTTTTTAATCCTTTCAACTCTTTGTAGAATTTTCGGATGCAAATGCCAAGTTTTACTGTCGGCTGTACTATGCAGGAGAGTTTCATAAGATGCGGGAGGTGGTTCTGGGGAGCAGTGAGGAAGATTTCATCCGCTCCCTTTCTCACTCCTCACCCTGGCAGGCCCGGGGAGGCAAGTCAGGAGCTGCTTTCTACGCCACGGAAGGTAATCTCTTTACTCACTAGTGCAGAACACTGCTGTTCTTTGCCTTGAGATGGTTTATGACACACTTGACGTAGGCATTGTATAGTCACTGTTGGCAAACAAAGTCCTCTAGATTCTTTCTGTTCCTGAGAAGAGTAATAAAATCTTAAAAGACTATATAGGCTGAGACATGGGTCGCATGCTTCCTGAACTCTCTCCAGGTCTGAGTTTTCAGATCTATATAGAAACTCCATTGGTTATTTTCTATATCTGCACTCCAGATGCCTGACAGAGATAGCCTAAGGGAGGGCAGGTTTATTTCAGTTCATGGTTCAGCTCCTGAGTGGTTGGCAGAGGGAGCATGTGGTGGCTGCTAGCCATTCACATCATCACAGACAGGAGGCAGAAAGTTTGGCTTGGGTGGAGGGGAACAGTCTTTCTCTGTTACCAGCTGGGCCTGCCTCCTAAATGTCTCACCCTTTCCGTAGCAGGGTCAGCAGACTGAACAAGCTTGAAAGCATGGGGCTGGTGGGGGATATCTCAGATTCAGACCACAGCAAACAGCTTGTTGGAAACTCAGTTGGGTGCCACAGAACTGATGATAGAAAAGGAACAGTAGAAATGTTTGGCCAGAATGTACAAAGGCCAAGTTCTTTCTTACCTAATAACTTAATAACATAATACCCACTGAACGCAAAATTACTGAAGACAGTGTAGATTGTGACTTCATAAAAACTTCAATGACTTTCAAGAGTGACTGAAGTAGCAGTGGAGTTATTAAGCATTCTTTGAGAGTTATAAAAAGTAAATAAATGAATTTATGCTATGAATTTAGATTTGAGGGTAGATTTGAGTACTAGGCGTTTTTAGTCCATATAATTCTTAGGACTCTGAATATTTTAATTACTTGGGAATTGCTCTCTGATCAAAATTTTCACTGTGTGGTTAAAAAAAAAAGACCCTTGAAACAGAAAATAAACAAGTGATTTGGGTTCTCTGGAATGATTTCCCTTTCATTTTATAGCAGACAATATGTATTGTGATGAATAAATGTGGATTTCTTCCTGTAGATGATAGATTCATTCTGAAGCAAATGCCTCGTCTGGAAGTTCAGTCTTTCCTGGACTTTGCGCCACACTACTTCAACTACATCACAAATGCCGTTCAACAGAAGGTAGAAGTCCTGAATCTTGTTTGTAGCAACAGTGTATTGGGCTGTTTTTATATCCTCAGTTCGTCCTGATAAAGCTTTCTCTGTGGAAAGATAAGAGCAGGGCATGCCTGGAATCTTTTATTCTATTGTGATGTGAAGGAATGCAGAGTTTTTAGATAATCTGTTTTCCCTACCTCTGCCATTGAGGAACCATGTAACCTTAAACAATTAGCTTTTGGTTGATGTATACATACCTACATACATCTGTAAGTTAATATAAAATATTGAGATTATTAGGTATCCATTTAAAAACATAGTGTTTTTGTTGGGACAAAAATAATAATAATGTTGAGTAATGAGGAGGTGCTTCCCTTAGCTAGCAAAGCAGTAGCTCGTGTTTGCCCTCTTGTCATTGATCAGTGACCGTGAATATTAATGAAGGAATTATGAAGGGTTTTCTGGCTGTTGTCAAGTAATAATTTATTGCAGATTTTTAGGGTAAGTAATGTTCATGTGATGATAAAGTTTTTGAATTTGAACAGCTGTGAAGGGCTAGCTATCCTGTTGTACTATTTAAGGACCTACTATTGTTACTGGCATGCAACTTCTGACATTGAAGAATTTCAAGTACCTATTCCTGGTATATTAGTAGAAAACCATTCTTGGCTATTACATGGACAAACCAGATATTATATGACTTAGAGATAATCTTATTATGGTAATAGTTTATTTTGATCTCTTTTTGACTAGAGGCCCACTGCTTTGGCCAAAATTCTTGGAGTTTACAGAATTGGTTATAAGAACTCTCAAAACAACACTGAGAAGAAGTTAGATCTCCTTGTCATGGAAAATCTTTTCTATGGGAGAAAGATGGCACAGGTAAGGACATTGTGTGACATCTTATATTAGTCAGTAGTGCACATTTACTTTTGGAAGAAAGAAAAGTTGGTATGTATTTCATTTTAAAATTTGACATTTCATATTTTAGACTCAGGTAGTTGGTGGACTAAGAAGACAGATGCCCTCCCACCATCTTAACTGTAAAATAGAATTAGCTGAGCCCTACAAAGATTGGCTGGTTTTAGATTTCATGTTGGTCTAGATGTGAGTGACATTCCTACTGCTGCGGCTAACTAGGCCTCTAATCTAGACTCCACAGTGCTCTCTGGGTGCTGCTCCTTGACCTCTTTCTAGTGTGAAGACTGTGTGCTGCAGCCAGTGCAGCCTGGAGAGCCAAGACTGGCGGTGTGTGTGTGTGTGTGTGTGTGTGTGTGTGCCGGGATTGAGACACGGAGGCTTCTTTTCAGGTGGAAGAACAGCAACCTTTTATACCTCTACTCCTTCTGTGGAGACCCACCGGCCAGAAAGAACACAAACATCCTTGTCAATTACAGACCAGAAGGAAGTTCCCCTGCTGGTCAGGGGGAGTGAAGGCAGCTGGATCACAACAACTCCCCCATTTTATTTTATTTTATAATACCTTGCCTGTTATGGGGAATAGCCCTCTAATATACCCTGTCTTAGGTAGCATCCTGCCCCCAAAGTATTGCCCGTCCATGGCTACCCAGACACATAGCATTAAACCAAGTATCCCCAGGACTGACAGTGCCAAGGAGCCAAACCAGTGCTGTAACCATCTAGCATGCACTAACTGGGTGGTAAAATTAACAAAAGCAGTATTCCAAACCCCTCTCATAGGACAGTTGAGTTCCGTAACAGTAGCAGAAGCATGCAATACAGTGCCATGAGTAACACACATAACATGATTAACTGTTGAAAAGTCCAAAGATAGTCCACTTACTCCTGAACCACAGCCACTTGTTGGTTTAAGGTCAGTATGCCCAACTGAATATGTCCATTAAGATTTTGAATGTCCAAAGCATTGCTGACTCTTTTCAGCCTGCTGGTTGACAGTCTCAGCCATCTGCACAGTCTGTGAGAGAGCAGGTCTGGCAGCAGTGGCTGTGGTGGCAAAGCTCTGCTCCAGCTGCCTCTGGCCCCAGCCGCACTCACTCTGGATCCAGACTGCTGCATGGAGCGGAACAGAACTCAGGGAAGCAGGCTCACTACTCCTGCTCTGGAACCATTGAATGGGCCCCACTTTAACAAGCTTTTAGGGAATTTGGGCGTCGTCAACCTGTCTGGCTACTTCCTGCTGAACGGGGTGCTGCATTCTTGGGAGTATTTTACATCAACATTTCAGGGGGTCTCGATGATTCAAACCACATAAATTTGCAATGAATCCACAGGTTCTCATCCTCTGTGAAGACAAAAGCAGAAACTCTTTTCCAAAGCATCAAATCCTTAGGCCCATATTTTAAAGTCAAAATACCTTTTTTTAGCAGTTCCAAGAATCAAAAATATCTTTCTCCAGTCCAGAACATAAAAGACAACACAATCAACACAATAACATGTATCTCTACACATTCTATCTTTTGAGGCCCTCAATTCACCCTCCTGCCTCCTCATTATTGCTTCCCTACTGACCAGTCTTCCAGAGGGCATCCCTCAGAGCATCTCTGGGGATGAAGACACACATTCTCTTTTTAATCTGACTTGACTTGTTCTCAGTCTGGAACATTTAAACCCCCTCCTGTACAAAATCTTTGGCTGTCTTCCTTGTTACTTCCGTGCCTTGTTGCTTTAAGAGTTTCAGTTACTTTTTGGGGCCTTTCAATTCACCCTCTTGCCTCTTTATACTTGCTTTTTTTTGGAGGATGTCCCTTAGAGTTATCTCTGGGGATGAAAAATAAAAACACTTTACCTTCCCCCATACGCTCCTCGATTTAGCCGGCAGCTGGAGCCACCCCGTTCACGTATCCCCACTTTCCAGATCTCGGTTGGAACCTCCACTTGCTGCAGCCAGCGCGACTGGCGGGGGTGGGGTGTGTGTGTGCGCCAGGATTGAGACACAGAGGTTTCTTTTCAGGTGGAAGAACAGCAACCTTTAGTTTGCCCAGCAACCTTTTATACCTCTACTCCTGTGGAGACCCACCTGCCAGAAAGAACACAAACATCCTTGTCAATTACAGGCCACAAGGAAGTTCCCCTGCTGGTCAGGGGAGTGAGGGCAGCTGGATCACAGCAAATGTGTCACCGAGAACTCAGACTGAGCTACACTAGGTGCTTAATGCCTTTACCTTCTACCAGTAGCTGTAACGTCTTCATGAGCCAGGACTGACTGCCTAGCGCTGGTCTGTAGAACACCCTCTAGGGTGGACTGGTTCTAGTCATCCAGTTCTTTGACATTCCTACCCTTCAGATGTTCTGAAATTTATACTCTCACTTGTACCTTGCTTTTAATGATTGTATAGAATTTTAATGTCTTAAGTTTCTTAAGTCTTCTTTCATACCATTGGATGATCTGAAACTTAATATATTTTAAATTGGTTAAATTGACAGATTATTTCTGAACTGTTTTAATAATTGAGTGCCAGTATATTGTTTTATATGATATAATTGTGTCACCATGAATTTAATGTATTATACACCATGTACTTTTTGTATTACATAATTATATCACTGTATACTTAGGAATTAAATTAGAAAAGTTAAATTTTGAAATAAAATTTAGAAGTGCATATTATGATAATAACTACAAGGAATCTTTTGTCTTTTAATTGCACTAATTAACTGTAGTGGCAAATTTGCACATAAATAATAAAGAATTTTTGTTTTGGTAGGTTTTTGATTTGAAAGGTTCACTTAGGAATCGAAATGTAAAAACTGACACTGGGAAAGAGAGTTGTGATGTAGTTCTGCTGGATGAAAACCTCCTAAAGATGGTTCGTGACAACCCTCTGTATATTCGTTCCCATTCCAAATCTGTGCTGAGAACCTCCATCCATAGTGACGCCCATTTTCTTTCAAGCCACCTCATTATAGACTATTCTTTGCTGGTTGGTCGAGATGACACTAGCAATGAGCTGGTAGTTGGAATCATAGGTAAGTCAATAATTGTACCCTGTTTATAGCTTGTGGTTAAAACTGGAGTAAAATTTCAGAGAGCCTGTTGAACTGGCTTAGTATCATAATCACTGAATACTTTTGGAAGCTTTCATTTATAATTTCACAGTTAACAAACAACATTTCCAAACATATATAAATTGAAAGGTAATGACAATCGCCTTAAAAGGAGGCTCTGTGTCATGGCTGTAAGAATTAACCAGAGTAATGTGGGGACAACTCTTTGGACAGCACTAGCAGTGTGCCATAGGACTTGTAACAGGCATTGCTACTGTTCTGGCTTATGCTTACAACAGCTCTTCTGCTCCTGTTGCCCCCTTTCCATCCCTAGATTATATTCGAACATTTACATGGGACAAAAAGCTTGAGATGGTTGTGAAGTCAACAGGAATTTTAGGTGGACAAGGTGAGAAAATGTTACTTTGTTTACTATTTAAACTGTCCTCACATATTCCTTGGATAATTAAGAAACATGGTTACCAGGCATGGTGGTATAGTGTAATTCCAGTGTTTTGGAGTCTGAGGTATGGGCATCTAGAGTTGAAGACCAGCTTTGGGTATGTAAGACCCCTCTCTACATGCAAAGTAAAACAAAAAAATTAATGTGTATATCTTTGATTTTCTAAAATGACTTTAATGTGAAGATGTATGTAAGTAGGGAAATACTGGATTTATGACAGTTTTTTCAAAGTAAGAAGTTTTTTAAAAGCTAGAGATTCTGAATAAAGGATTTACCTTAATTAATACTTGGTATCTTCTAGATTCTCTAGTTCATTCCTGAGTTTAAAGCTCAGGAGAAGCTTTAAACTTCTCCTGAGCTCAAGAGAAGAGCTCATATCTGAGAAATACTCTACCTGTGGCAGATGTCAGAGCAGACACCGAGTGCTTTGGCATATAGCAGTTCATAGTTGTTAATTCAGTTGCCCGATTGATTTTTTTTTATATGCACGTACACTTAATTTATTAATTCCTCTCTTTGTCTTTCATTGTCGTAGGTAAAATGCCAACTGTGGTTTCTCCAGAGTTGTATAGGACTAGATTTTGTGAAGCAATGGACAAATATTTCCTGATGGTGCCGGACCACTGGACAGGGTTGGATCTGAATTGCTGAAATTCTGCAGATGACTTGAAGTAGACTGTGAAGGAACGTGGATCTGAGCAAGAGGCCCAATTCTCATCTATCACTGAACACAAAGGCCTTTCAGTTCTGTGATTGCCCATAGACTTTTTTTAGACTATTCATAACTGCAGGGTAAAAGCTCCATGAATTGTACTTTGCTTCTGCTCCTTGAAATTAGCTGACTATAAAGCAGGAAACTATACAAAGTTAAATACAGGTTCTTCTCAAGGGGCTGTGGTTGGAGATGAACGTGTAGTATCATATTTACTAACTCAGTTGATTAAAGAATAAAGCTCTGTCTGGTAGACTGCGACTATCTGGTGGACCGTGACTATCTGATAGATTGTAGCTGTCTGGTCAACTGTGACTGATAGATTGTGACTATCTAATTAAGATTGTGGCTGTCTGGTAGACCATAACTATCTGATAGATTGTAGCTGTCTGGTAGACTGTGACTGTCTGATAGGTTGTAACTGTCTGGTAGACTGTGACTGATAGATTGTGACTAATAGATTGTGGCTGTCTGGTAGACTGTGATAGATTGTGACTGATAGATTGTAGCTTATCCGGTAGACTCTCCCTGAGACTTACAGACTTCCTTAGTTCATTTTATGTTTCCTATGTAGTAACTTTATGTGTGTACTTATAATTTCTGAAATATTTAGGAAAGTTCTTATTTACTCCATTAATAGCCTGTTAAACAGATTGGTGCTTGCTTTATTAGGAGTTTGATTAAACTGGGAATCCTGTCATACTCTGTATTCTCAGCTCACCTTGTTTTTAGTTGTATTTGAGGCTTTATCATTCTTTTTGCGGGTGGTGAGAGCCTATAACCGTTTGCTTTAAAGCCTTTCTTAGAGCACTTTAAGGAGCTTGTTTAGAACTTCTGTGTAATGTGCCAAACAGCACTTAGCCTGCGTGTGCATTTATAGTCTGGAGTTTTCTCTAATTTGGGGGAAACAGAATGAGCAGGAAATGAATCTGTAGTCACTGAATCCCAAACTGAACAATTAATAATGAAGGATTTTTTTGATAGTAAAAGATAGATTAGACCCAATCTAAGAGTGAGAAGAAATAATTGTTTTGTTTTATAGTGGTAAAGTATCTTTCAACACTGTTAGCAGTTTAGTGGGATCTCTAAAGTTAAATGGTTTTGCTGTGGATATTCTCACTTTTAAGTTTTTACCACACTGACCAGTGCTGCTGAGAAATGCTGAGAGGTGAAGTTAGTCCTATTTAAGGACCTTGTTACTAGCCAGCAGGCTTGTTTAAAAAGTGACTAGGAATCTTGAACTATGAGATGCTATCACCCCAGAAAATAATAAGAAATATGTGAACATTTCCTCTTGACTTTTATGTAACAAGGATATTTGGACATTTATAAAGTTGTAATTCAATTTTTTCAAACTTCCTCTAATAGCACATCAATATTCACAGAAAAAAAAAAGAGGCTGGATGTGTTGTGCTACATAGAACAGCCTGCACCTGAACTAGGCACACATTTGACAGGTTTGCTGTAGAGAGTGAAGTGATAGCTAGCTATTTGTTTATTGAGAACTTTAGTTTTGAATTCATAGCAAGTTAAATAAGGACGTATGTCTACCTGGTGTTAAGCCTCAGCCTCTCAGTCTTGTGTCTGTGCCTTGTGAAGGTGGACCAAATCCTGCAGAGTCCAGTTGTGATACTAAAGGTCAGCAAAGGAGTTGTACTGACATGAAGATTGTGTGTGTGCCACTTCTGTGCGTCCAGAAACAAAGGCTGTCCTGTCTGGTTTGAAATGCCAGCTCTGTTCATTCTTTCTGTCCGGTTGGTTAGGGCTGTATGTCCTCCCAACTTCCTCTGGGACTGTACTGATGCCTTTCCCTGCTGTGTGTGGTTGTTTCTGTTTTTCTTGTTGGTTTCAGTTCAGTGCACAGTGCTGAGCTCCAGGGAGGGCAGTAACCGCTGACAGGAGCATGGCATTCCCATCCTCTCTTGCCCCTGACTTGAAAAGCAGTTTTGCTTTTTAGAGTATTGCCTCTGGTATTTTGGTAACTAAACTTTCTGAGGCAAGATTATTGCTTTGAAAGCTTGACTTGTCCTTTTAAAATTAATGTTTGACTGGTATTAATGAAGGGGAATTGCCTAATTGATCTGTCTTGCAAGATACAAGTGTGTGACTCCTGGCTGCTTGCATTTAGCCACTGCCATGCATATGTTTATATAGTATTTCAAATGCTTTGAATTGAATGACTGATTTCCTCTTGAACTTCCTTTCATGGCCTAAAGAATTTTAATGTTGAAAAGCTGTGAATAAGGAAGAAATCTCATGCTCAGATTATAAAATGAATTCCAAAGTAACTGATAGTAACATGAGAGAATTATGTCAACATGTTGCTTTGTATAAAAAACTTATCTGTAAATACAAAGCTTTTTGATTATATAAAATTTTGATTAAAAATTAGAAGAGACTTTTTTTTTCTCTGTCTGAGGGAAGAAAGGAGAAATGAGCCGTTGTGAGCCCCTTTGTAGTCTACTGTGTGCTTTATAGGTTCTTAAGGTCCTACAGAAATCTAAGCATCTGTATAAATAACACGTCATTCAGACCAGCATTGGCTCATGTGACAGCTTTGTGGCTGACTGGTTTTGGCCCTTTAACCGTCAGCAGTGGGCTTCTTGGAAATGCTAAGGAGAGTTATTAGCCTGTAGAAAGTTAGCAGAGTTTCCATTGTGAAAACCATTGCCAGTGAGTCTGGTGAAGTCTGACTAGAACATTCATGCTCTCAAAATGACTTATGCAGTATTCAAAATGTCCAGTGCAATGCCTTTTTTTTTCCTTTTTTTTTTTTTTGGGGTTGTTTTTGTAACGGGTGCAGTGTATTATAGGGAAAAATGAAAATTACAATCATGAGCAGTTTTGTTAATGCTGCTTTGCCAGTTTTATAGAAGATGTACATACTGTCTTTCAACAGGCTTTAAACCAATAGAAATAATGTTGAAAATCACAGTAGCCTCTTAATTTAATATGAAAAACTCAATATTAAAAGTACTTAATGTATTGAAATGTATATATTTCTCTAACCTTGTTTTCAATTGTTTTATATGATTGACATGTTATTTAAAGATAACCCTAGCCTTTTAGAGACTTGTACTGTAAATAAAGAGGACCTACAATAAACTGGAATTTATATACTCTTCTGTGTTTTGGATCTATACAAAGTGAGAGGAAGTTCTGCCTGCCTATATTGCTTTCTGTTTGTTCTTTCTGTTTATTCTCTTCCCTTTTGTTTCCAGTAGGAGAATGCAGTTTTGCATTTTGATCAGTAATGGGCATGGTCATATGGGTCTTCCAATTCTTCCTGTTTTTTTCGTTTTCTTGATAGAGCATTCAAGGAAGGGAAACCCTTTTCTTACAGGATCTGCAAATTGTGGGGTGGGTGGGACTCCACCGTTCATTACTTTCCGCTGTGAACTTGAAGGTAAATACTATTCCAAATGACGCTGAACTCACCTCAGTGCTGCTCAATAATGCGAGATACAATCCCATACCAGTTTGGATTCAAAAGATTATTTATTTGAGGGAAAAAAACTTACAGAACACCGTCCTACACGACAGCCAGGAAAGGAGTCTAGTCGCTGGAGCAAGAGAGCTAGTGGAGGGCTGCCGCTGCTTTTAAAGAGAGAGTGAGACCACGCCCCAGTGGGCTGGTATCTAAGCGGCTATTGGCTGAAGGAGCGGAAGGAGCTTCCGCAGCACCTCCCCTTTTTGTTTAAGTAAAAGAGTTCTAAACCTCCTACGAAATTATATACAATAAGAACAAATATCCTATTCTAACTAGCTTAAGTCTTGTATAATAAATAACTTGGCCAAGTCATGAGAGGAAAGTAACTACAACTATCTAGTCTTCAACCCCACTGAAGATCTGAGAAGGGAAATAATGTTACCTGAGTAATTAGGAAGTGCAATCAAATAACTTCCAAAACATACAACAAATCACAGAGACAACTGGCTACCTGTGCAATCACCCAAAGTCATATTTGCAGTGTTGAAGCAACCAACTTTGACTAAGGCCTAGAATAATTGACAGATTTTTAACAGGCAAGAAATTTTTCAAAACCGTCTTACCCTGTCTTGGCAAGATTTGACAATTCTGCTCATCCATTTCCAGATAGTATGTATTTTGTCATTAGTTGAGGTATGGGCAGTTCCTTGCCCAGAGGCCAGTTTTGCCAAGAAGACAAACTCCAAGTGGAGTGTCTTTGGTGCTCAACAGTATCTCGGGAATACATCGGTGTTGCCAGAAGCAATTGTGTCTCACTACCAGAAAACTCTAAGATTAAATTAAATGCCATTTTCTACAGCCCTTTGAAGAGGTTGAAGATTTTTTATACAGAATATAATATATAGTCTCTATGTCTAAAGAACTTGATTAGTCTAACTATAAATATGATAAACATAGATGACTATTGATTTACAATTCTTAATACCTATCTAAAGACTAAGAGAATAACCAACTGTTCAATAAATGAGGACAATGTTCTCCAATTGTAAACAATGTACAAGTATACATTGCAATATGTTAAATATATATCAATACATAAACAATATATAAGTATCTTAATCAGAGGTAGAAATGTACACTGCAATATCTAAATATATATATGTATATATATATATATCAATACAATATATAAATACATGAAAAATGTTTTAAACAGGTAGGAGCATGCATGCATACAATATTCAATATAATTTAATTTTGTATCCATATACAAAACTCTATGACAATGTAATTTCTATAAACAATAACTCACAAATGCCAATCTATTATCCCATCATCCAATTTTCCTTTTTTTTTTTCAAAAAGTTCCCTGAGCTTATAAAATTCCTCCCTCAACCCTCAACCGTATACTAATTATAATCAATCTCTAAATGATGTCCCTAAACCCGAGGACAAACTTTACTGGGAGAGGGGATGTCCTCTAGAATTACTTCCAGCTGTCATGTTCTCTGACTGTCTCACTATGTAGGTGCATTAAAAAGAACTCTGGTGGGGGTGAATATTTGCCCAGGCACAAAGGATGGGGGGGAGAGGGTGGTCAACAGGCCTAAACTGGCCTAAACCAGACTAAACTGACTATCTGAACATGTGGTATGTTTACTTCCCAAAAATGAGTCTACCTAGGTCTGCCAAGGGGCCCCAGCAACAGCTGCTGAACCATGAGACAGGAGGACCTGAACCAGTCCCCAACTGCCATGACAGATGGCCTGGTGCCAGTGCTGCTGCTTCCCCTTCCTCGGGCTGGGGTGGAGGGAGGGTGTATAAAGCTTTTCCTTTCCTGAATAAACTAGCTTGCTGCATTCAGCTTGCCTGCCAGAGCCCATGCTGTTGACCTCGCGCCTGCTTGCTCCCTCCCCCAAAGGGCAGCACCATAGGGTAAAGCAATAGAACTCTAGGAAAAATCAGTCAAAGGCTTATGTGTGTGAGCACGTGCACGTGTGCGTGCACACACGTACATAAGCATACCTCCACACAATGAACAAGTGTAGTAAAAAAAAAAGGTAAGTATTGTGGTTTGAATGATTCATTAAACTCATTTTGGATTTAATCCCCATTGTGAGATCTTAAAAAATGAGATGAGAGAGGATTTAAAAGGTAAGTAGATCACAGAGGCACACATCTGATGAATGGGTTGATCCATTAAAAGGTTAATGACGTGTCCTGGAGTAAGACTTAGAAATGCCCATGTGGGTTTGCCTTCTTTTTGTGCTTCCCTCCCCTTGTGGTGTCCGGTGCCACCTCAGCACTCTGCAGAGTTCTGAACAGCATGCAGACCGTTGATCAGAGGCAGCCCCTTGTCTTTCCATCTGCTTGACCTAGGGACTGTGAGGTGAGTAAACCTTTCTTCTTTATAAAGTATTCAGTCTGTGTTATTCCAGTTATAGCAACAGAAAATGGTGTATGACTGTATATAATGGATTGCTTGGAACAAATACCTACAAATAGGAAGGTATGCTTATATTTGCTAAGGTCTTTCACCTAAAAAATCAGTGACATTCAGGGAGAACTGACACTTTAGTCAACAATTACTGTGACCGTCATACAGTCAAAAAAGAAAGGCCTGACACAGGCGTGTGCACAGAAGAAAAGAGTTTTTCTGTATAGCCTGGTCTTAAGCACACAGATGGCTACTTAAGGCTTTAGCACTGTGGCTTTAGAGAGATTTGTGGGGATGGAGTTTATTGGGAGGGTATGGGAGAAGATGGGGACTGGGAGTAGGCAGAGCTTCTCTTAAAGGGACCTTTGCACCTGTGTACAGTGCCATAGCAGAGGGGTTCCAGTGCCCAAGGCACAGGGCCAAAGTGTGCCTGGATACTAACACCTGGTGCCTTCGGCTAGAATGGGAACTGCTGCGTGGTGAAATGGAGACCCAGATGTGAAAGGAAGATGTCTACATGTTACTTCACATCAACCGTACTTCCCAGGAACTCTTTCAGAGCTGTCATCTCCTGAAAGACTCCCCATCTTTTCCCTTGTGATTTTTGATTAGTTAATCTGCAAATAAAAACATGACAGTAATTTTACTTGTTCTCCTGATTGCCACTCGCTGCTTGTTATCTTGGAAAATTCAAGGCATTGTCTGCCCTTCTGTGACACATAGGGAGTTGCTATAACCGCTGTTGCTCTTCAGAGGACTGGAGGAGTAGAATATTTGGGACAACGTGGGTTGCAGAGGTGGAGAGTGGCCACTAGAGGACACTAAAGCCTTTGGTTCTAGGATTTGTACATTGACCATTCAGAGCAAAGAAAGCCCATCCCCAAGTCCACCCGAGCCCAGTCCTCATTCCTTAATGCTTTCTTCTCATGAATTCCCATTTTCATATTGAAGTGTAAACTCCAGATGCTGGTTTAGCTGTTGTTTTAAACAATGCAGCAATTTCCCAGAAAGTTGCCCTAAAGATTTATAAACTCTAAAATACTACGTGATTTCTATATTTGTTCTCTCTATAGTGCTGAAATAGTGGATCCAAGGCTGTTTGTGAAAATGAGTATTGTATTGCCATGGGAATAGCTCCATTACTTTCACCGTGTTGATCTGAATTAGGGTTAGTGGGCAGTTGGATCACTTATTGTCCCTTGTTGTCATACTAAAATACAGTTCAAAGAGAGGACTATTATGAACCTAGAATAAGATGTATGTTTAATGAGCATCTACAGTTGTCCCTTGGCAACCCCTGAGGTTGTTTCCAAGACCCCCTGCCCCCCACCCCCAGGTAGCAGCCCCTAATCCTAATGGTGCTCACAGGAAGAGGACTCATGCTGCCTGAGGCAAAGTGACTGCTGTAAACAGGTTGTTTCCTTGTAGTAAATCGTGTCAGAAAAAAATCTGTATGTATTAGTGCAAACAAATAAATTTTAATATGTGTGATCTGTGAGGGGATGAACCCTTGAATATGGAATCTGCAGACAAAAAGCACCCGCTGCCATTTCAGACTTTTTTAAAATCTGTTTTTGACTAGTTTCTTCACTGCTGTGATTTGAATAAAAATTGACCTTATGGGTCCATGTGTTAAAGGGTGGTCCCTTGCTGACAGCCCTATTTTGGAAGGTGTTGTAATCTGCTGGCTTTGCCTGTCACCTGGGTACCTGTCCCTTTAAAAGACAAATTCTGCACACTCCAAATCCCCTCTTCCAATGAAGGTATCTCTCTCCTGTTGAAGGAGTTTGCTTGTTGGTTCCCTGCTGCTGAGCCCCAAATAATCACACAAAAGCTATGTTATTTAAATCACTGCTTGGCCCATTAGCTCTAGCTTCTTATTGGCTAACTCTTACATCTTAAATTAACCCATCTCCATTATTTTATATTTTACTATGAGGCTTGTGGCCTACCGGCAGGATTTCAGCATATCTGTCTCTGGCCATGGATCCATGGCTTCTCTCTGACTCTACCTTCTCTTTCCCAGCATTCAGTGTACTTTTCTCTGCCTCTCTACCCTATCAGGCCAAGACAGTTTTCTTTATGAACCAATGGTATTTACAGCATACAGAGAGGAATCCCACATCACCTCCCCTTTTCTGTTTAAATAAAAAGTAAGGTTTAACTTTAACATAGTAAAATTACATATAAAAAAACAGTTATCAAGCAAGAATTACAGTTACAACATTTATAACTACCTTATCTTTTATCAT